ATGGTCCCATAATGCAACACACAAAGAAAATGAGGGAAGTGTTCATGGAGGGGAAAGAAAATAAAAGCTATGTGACTGCTTTTGCTGCAGTTTCACTATATGTGAAGTGTTAAGTTTGAAATTGACATTAAATTAAATTCGCTGTTTTGTTAATACATGACTATCAGAACAAAATATGATAAAACAATTTCTGTCAAAACATTCTCAAGCCAACACGTACAAGAAGTTCAAAGCCAAAAAAAAAACCCAAATTGGATTGTGAATATCTATAAAATTATAACAAATCGTCAACTCGAGATATGACAAAAGCTCCCAAACAGCTGATGAGTGAACTTGTGGTGATAAAGTTTTATCAGCTGCTGTTTCCCAGGTCAAGACTGAACTCAATCTCTGCTGTATTGTATGACACTGGGACACAGTAACTAGGCCTACTCTTCTCAACTAATGTAACTAAGCTAACTTACTGCTAGGTAAATGCTATCTAACCTACTAAAATATTCTGATGGAGCTGATGTATTAAGTAGCTGACAAAAAGTTATATTAGTTTCACAGCAGTCGAGGTGAGTAGCCATTTTAATTTTCCAGGTTTTAAAAGTTATTTTAATGTTGATCAAAATACTTTAAAAACATAATTCTCATTTAGTTTTGATTTAGGAGGGCTATGGAATTGACATGCTATAGTTGAGACACATTCGATAGCAATGTTATTTAATGATATTATGAAAAAAACATAAATCTTACCAGTACTTGAGCAGCATTCCCGCCTTTTTGGAAACCAGGAAGTGAGACAGGAAACCATAGGATATAGCGAACACCTTTTATGCCTGATGAAATGTGTTTTTGGAGAACTCTGACAGAGTTGACAAAAACCTGGGACACATATTTAAAGGGCCAACATTTTCACACACAAAAAAAATATTTTTAAAACAAAGGATTATAGCGGTGCATTTTTACACTGATGTTATGCACTGATTAGATTTTTAGATTTACTTTTTTATTGTCTGAAGTTGTGTATTTTTGTCTGGGACGAGGGTGCTCAGGGTAGGTTTAGAAGTTAAATAATGAAAGCAGATCAAATAATTCATAATCATATTTATTTCATTCTCGAGTTTATACTTTTTGCCTTTTGCCACAGAATAGTCTGGTGAACTGTCCATAGGCACCAAAGAGTAACCTCTTCTACTTTAAATGATAGAGTGATGGTTATGTGACTGCTGTGGGTCTTCGTGTGTGAGTGTGCTGTGTCCCTTCTGAACAGAAAGAAAAAAGAGAAACACATGTCTCAACTGACATGCAGACAGGAAATCAGCTCTGAACGTAGTTATTGTGGCTTTGCTAACAAGGCTAATTGATAGGCTAAATGCTACAGTAAATACTGCTTCAAGAAAACACAAATGTTAAAGACACATAACCTTAAACTCTTTAAGACTCTCTACTTTTTTGTTTTTTTGCTGCCGCCATTGAAATGTTAAGTTTGTTTGCACGTCACACCATATGTATATATGTCCCCTGGTCACTACTGCTTCTAGTGCTTTAAAAAATTGGACGTCTTTTGCCAATCTCGTTTCATTGTTTTTTTTGTATTTTGGAAAGCCTCTTGGCTAATTCTGTCATTTTTATACCATGGGTATTTATTAATTTGCAATGTCCCTTCTTAAATAAACCAATCTGAACTGAACTGGGAGCAGGCATGTTATAGCTGCTTTGTCTGAAATATTAATTTACAACATTATCACTGAAATGTAATCACTTCTTTTGGTTATAAGGTGTTGCTTTTTTACAGTACTTTGAACATAAAGTAACAAATAATGCAGACCCATGAATTTGAAAAATGTGACTAAGTAAAAAATGTCAAACCTCTGAATCCCTCTGTGCTTCCAGTTCATATCAGGCTGTGTGTGCTGTAGGTTTGCACCAGTTTCTTTTACCTGGTGTTTAAGTCAGAAGTGGAGGATTACCTGTTCAGGAAGCAGGAGGGGAGGAAGAGACACAGCTCCATGAGTGTGTGTTTTAAGAGCCTGTCAGGAGAGCTAACTTTATGACCCGCTGCTGCAGGGTTTACACAGACGCTCACTGTGAATATTCAATCAGGAAAGGTGCCTGCCAGCTAACGTGAGCTGACAGGAAGGGAAACCAGCCGCTAGGCTGATAGATGAGTATAGATCTCAGGTGAAAGGTGAGAGTGCTGAAGCTGCGTCCTCTTCCTCTGTCTGTCTTGTCTGTTGTGGTATTCTGTCTGGAGCTGGTGTGTGTGTGTGTGTGTGTGTGTGTGTGTGTGTGTGTGTGTGTGTGTGTGTGTGTCTAGATGTTAAGTACAGGGGCTGAATGGTGTGTGTAGAGAGGTCTTTAATTAGAGCAGGAAGACACGGCTCAGGAGACGCACTACACTAGCTTTAAGTGTGTGTGTGTGAGTGTGTCCATGCAAGTACATGTGTGTGTGTGTGTGTGAGTGTCTGTAACATCCTGCACGCGTCAATAGTGTCAGGGTCCATCTTGCTAATTCCACAAGTGTCTGCTCGGTGTGTGTGTGCGTTTGAACGTCTTAAATTAGTTTGCATGACTCCCCAAAATGTCAAGCAGGGATTTTATTCCTCCACTGACTCCATCAATTAAACATCCACAGACTGTCTGAAAAGTTGATAAAACATTCTGTTCTTTATAACTGAATTTACTGTGGAACACTGAGTCGAGTCGGTGGAATCCTCTGGCGACACTGAGCCAAGTTGCTAACAGTGAATTGCGTCCAGTCAGCCATATTTGGTTGCTGGATAAGTGGTTTGTTGCTGCCCTGGTAAACTGGACTAACAGGCCAGTTTATTTTTTAGGAAACATTCCAGTTCTTTCTCCCCTCTGCTCCTCTGTATGCTTTATTTATTTCAGTTGGCTAATCATCTCAAAATATTTTGTCCAAACTTATTATAGATAACAAGAAAACGGCATTAATCTGTTATAATATTTATTTGTTACATTACTTACAAATAATGCTATTTTCTTTATTGCAGATGTTACAGAACAGAAATTGTACTGTACCCATATTCTTTTTTTTTGTAGGTAAGAGCCCACACCTTCTCCAGTAGACTTTTAAAACATTAAAAACATGTCCACCACCGACCTGTATAATGTCAATCCATTTTAACGGAATTCTGTGTAATGGATTTTCTGGTCAGGTCAGAAAAGTGTACAAATTAGGTGCTGCATTGGCAATTTGAGCCCATTCTTCTCACCTAGTACATAGGTGGTTTAAATGAGCAGGTTTTGAATGCATTCAGACCTGGATTTGATTAAAAAAAATTTGCTCTAACTACTTAGAATCTCTACAATAAAACCTGGAGCGTGTCACTACAGTAGTAATGATTTTGATTTTAGTGTTGAATTATGAGACTGTATGAATTATTTTTTCTTTTAAAAAAGATTTTTTAAGAGAGGAAATAATGACATTATTACTCCATTAACATACAGTATTAAAGATATACTATGCAGATTTTTTTTTCTATGAAACAACATATAGTCTCATACAGAAGTAAATCCTGTCAATCATCACTTATGACCCAGTGTGGGGGGAGGTGTATTTATCTGCAGAGACTCTGCCCTCCACCTTGATTTTCTCATTTTCGTCATATTTTGCTGTTGAGCTTAGTCCTGGGCACAGCACACAGTTTAGGTCAGGACTTTTTAATTAAAAAGGTTGCAACCACATTCCAGACTGTAGCAGCACGCATCCAGGAGCAAGTTACGAAAATTGTGGATGTAGCACTGAAAATATAGTGAACAGTAAATCTGGGGTTGACTATTGCACATCTGTCCGTCCTGGAAGAGGGAGCCCTCCTCAGTTGCTCTTCCTGAGGTTTCAACCTTTGTTTTTCTCCATTAAAGGGTTCTTTGGGGGAATTTTTCCTTTTCCGCTGCAAGGGTCCTAAGGACAGAGGGACGTCGTATGCTGTAAAGCCCTGTGAGGCAAACTGTGATTTGTGATATTGGGCTTTATGAATTGAACTGAATTGAAATTAACTGACTTTCACTTTCCCCTGCAGTACAGTACTGTTTACAAACAGTAACTGATGATTCCTGCATAGTATATCTTCAAGGTTAAAGATTAAAGGGATAGTGCACCCAAAAATGAAAATTCAGCCATTATCTACTCACCCATATGCCAAGGGAGGCTCAGGTGAAGTTTTAGAGTCCTCACAACACTTGCGGAGAGCCAAGGGGAGAGGAGGTAGCAACAAACCCTAATGGAGGCTTATGGCGCCCCAGATTCAAACGTCCAAAAACACATAATTGAAACCACAAAATATCTCCATACTGCTCGTCCGTAGTGATCCAAGTGTCCTGAAGCCCCGACATAAAAAATTGTTTGGAAAAAACATCATTTGAACTCTGTTTTTAGCCTCACTGTAGCCTGTAGCTCTAACTGCCTCTCTGTGCACCGCATTCACATGTGCGCACTTGCGCAAGTCAATTATGTGTTTTTGGACGTTTGAATCTGGGGCGCCGTCAGCCTCCATTAGGTGGAGTTTTGTTGCTACCCCCTCTCCCCTTGGATCTCCGCAAGTGTTGTGAGGACTCTAAAACTTCACCTGAGCCTCCCTCGGCATATGGGTGAGTAGATAATGGGTGAATTTTCATTTTTTGGGTGCACTATCCCTTCAAGTTGATGTACCAGTACAATTAATAGTGTGATTTTGAGATATTAGATGGAGGTTGCTGTATTTTTTTTTTTTTTTTTTTTTCTTTACAAGTCAAGAGATGGGTCCAAATAGAATACTGTGGAGGTACTCACCTTTTTAAAACATAAGATTTAACCTCCCTTTCCATCATTTTTGTACATTTCCTTTTTAAAGTATAATCAAGTAATAAACTGATACATTTAAAATATATAATTGTTTTTCTAAATTTGCATTTACATGAGGAATTAATAAAGGCAAATGAAATGATAAAAAGATCATCTGGAGTAGTAGTAAAACACATTCAATAATCCTTGTCTCGCTCTTCTGTTGCAGCTCCCATGCTTTCGTTCAGCCATGCTTCCTGGATATGGATTCTCACCTTTTCCTGATTTCCAACCCCACCTTCACGCTTTTCGCTGCCGAGGAGACAGTCCCAGCATGTGGATTCCTGGCTCAGGGGAGTCCCCGTCTTTGAACGAGGCCCAGGAGGACAGGCCTCTCCTCCACCCGTGCCACCACAAGCATGTTGCTGTTTGCCAGCAGGAAACATTGGCTTTTATTGAGCTACAACCACCAGTGACTCCTAAACTAAACGGTCTTGGCTCTTCGAGGCAAACTGTTATTCCAGAGGCCCAATGCACAACACACTCCCTGCCCCTGAATGGTTTCAAACACACACTAAACGAACTGAATGATATGCAGAATGGCTGCCACAGGACAGACAACGAGCATGAAACGACACTGAATTTAAACTCTCACACACCTGAGGGTGACTGCGAGCTTGAATGCCAAAATGGCAACAGGACTTCTTTGCAGGAGCAGACAGAGAAACCTCGTTCTGTCACAACACTGTGTCGTCCTCTCCACTCAGCTCTCAGCCTCCCTCTGCCATTCCCTCTGTCCTCTCTATACACAAACAGAGACTCTTGGGAATCTCAGTTACCCTGCTCCCCATCCTCACCTGAAGGTCCTGGGTGTCAGAGCCCAGACTTCTCCCAGCCGCAGAGGAGGACGTCACAGGGTTCACTGAAAGAGAAGTCTATCCGTGAGTGTGCGGCTCCTTTCACTATGACAGAGTTAATGTAACAAATCAGGCTTTACATGCTTTATCTCGATCTAATAAAGTTATTTTTTTGATTCCAGGGCGAAAGATGCAGGTCTATTCCCCAGACAGCCAGAGCGATGAATCTCTCAGCAGCCCGATCCTGGATGCAGACTACATCTTCCCAGGACCTTTTGCATCTTTCCTGGAGGAAGACCTCTGTGGATTATCTTCCCTGGAGGCCATTTCAAGCCCTTCATCCACAGACGGTGTTACAGATCTCCCAAACCTCAGTCACGATGATATTTTTGATCTACCCACAGAACCACTGCAGATAATAGAGGACTCGCTGCCAGGGTTGGGGTTAGAGAGCGGGAGTGTAGGGAGGTCAAGTGCCACAGGAGGGAGCTTTTTGCCACGCGGCCGTCAGGCAGATCAAGAACGGCGGCGGTTCTCAGCCTCAGAACTGATATCTAGACTGCAGCTGTCTCAGAGGAAGAACTCCTTCACCTTGAAGCTGGGGAAGTCGCTATCTGCACGGGTAGCCTCCAGGGACAGACAGAGCACCAACAGCATCAGTCTCAACACTGACTGTGAGTAGAGAACAGAACCAACATTACGGTAACATTTCATTGAAAAGTAGACCATAGTGTGTCACTACAAACAACCAAGAGCAGTATAAAAACCCATTACAATCAAATACCACATACCACAAAAACAGTTAAAAGCCTCAGTTTTTCAACACATTGCTCAGTGTCAAACCTCAACCATTTGGGCTGCTGTATGAAGAGGAAACTAACTCTTAACCTATTGGCTCCAGCCTTGTCTCATGAGGGCAAAGGTCAATATTTGGGACAAGTGAAATTCCAAAATTCACAGACTCTTAAACCTAATATGAGAAAATGTTTTACTTTAACTTGGAAACATTAGTCTCTTAATCAGTTATTTGACGAACAGAATTTTTTTATGTGAGTTCTGGGCTGTTGGTTAAACAAAACAAGCAATGAGGAGACATTACTTCAGGCTCAGGGCTAATAATAGGGACTAACTGATACTAATAGATACACCAATTTTTGAAAGTGGTTCAGTATTGACCACTCCAGCTGCAGCTGTGAAACTGGCTCCACTTATAGAGTTTATGCACAGTCAGTGTACGTCCACTCAAAGTGTTTGGTTTTGCCACTGACATGCACAGATTGTTATCTCAGTATCTGAAAATATTACGTAAAGGATCCCTACAGAGAAATAAAACACTTTTCCTTACCCTTGATAAGGTCTGTTTATTAGTGTGTGTATCCAAGTCTCACTCACTCACTCTCACCAAATCTACCTTCGGGTACAAATAAAGTTACCTTACCTTACCTTACCTTACCTTAGGTAAAGTCGCATTCTGAATTCTCTCCCTTTCTGCACTGTGGAAATCAACTAAATATTCAGCCGTAAAATGGAAATCTTTTAGGAAATATTAAGCTACTCTTTCTTTTCTTTCAACACAACACACTCTTCCAGGCACTATTCTCTCCAACTCTTGCTATAGTTTCTATGATTGAGCGAGACTTGGATCAAGCAAAAACGTAAGAAAAATGATTTATTTCTCTGTAAGGATCCTTTCTGTAATATTGTCGGACACTTAAAACAACAATCTGAGCATGTCAGTGGCAAAAACAAACACTTTTAGTAGATATAAATTGACAGTGCACAGTTGCTTGTAGGGGTTACGTTGCAGCCTGTCTCTCTCTTAATGCTGGGCCAGTTTCAAAAATTGTTGTCTCCATGAGTCGCTTAGACACAAAAACATGGGAAAATAGGTTAAAATTTCTGAAGTGTCCCAGTAAATGTAACTAATGAATTTATTGTGTTTATAAAACAATTGTCAACAGATGAATCATAAATGATAATAATTACTGGGGGCTTCAGATGCTGTGTAATCACAATGTGCCTGGTACGAGTCCAGCTTTAGACTTTTGTTGCATGTCATTTTGTTCTTTTCCCCTGTCTTATTTCCCCTCACGTCTCGCCTCTGTACTATCTAATACAGGCTAAAATGTCTAAAAAACATAGTAGGGAAAAGAAAATGTTTGTTACCCCCAGAGACTAGGTAACTGGGTAATTTAAATGTTTGGTAGATTAAGAAGAAGAAGACACAAATAGGTGAACTGCGAGCAAAGAGTCTAAAACAGCTGATTATGTCAAGAAGCTGTTCTGTGTATTTCAAGTGTTGCTGCAGTTTTACATCTGAAGAAGCTGTCCATAAACATCCAGCAAGGTGCAAACAGAGAGTACTGTTTCATGAACTTTTATAACATGAGGTCCATTGCTCTTCCCTGGACCTCACACCTGCACTGTCTACTTTCTATCCTCTTTAGATAAGTCCAGCACCAAGCATCGCAGCTCAGGAGGCTCTAGTGACAGCGCTCCTCAGAGTCCTGTTGGACCTGCACCTGCTCTGCCCAGCAGTGACAATGGCATGCCTTTGCACCGTTGGAGCACAAAACTCGGGTAAACAGACTTAGAATATTTATAAACCGAAAAGATTAAAAGACATGTATTAATGTCAGCTCACTTTTTTTTCACAGAATGCGAAAGAAGTCAATAGAGGAGGACGTCAGCACACTTCCAACCGTTGCTGGTTCCAATCGATTATCACGGTTTTTGCCCAGTTGTAAGTTTCCCCTTTTCAAGTCTTTTTAGCCAGTGCACCTCATTAAACCAAGATTTGTTGGATTTCCCATAATATCCTTTTTTACTCCCCTGCAGCGATTCTGTACCAGGAATACAGTGATGTCGCCATCAACAGAGAGATCCAGAGGCAGCAAGGGAAGGAGCCAGGCACAGAGGATGATGGGCTCAGGGACGAAGGGTCAGACGGGACCCCGTCTCCTTCTAATCTGTCTCCATCCAGCTCCTTCCGCTCATCACGAGGTTCTGCTTTTGCACTGTGGCAGGACATCCCCGATGTTCGAACCAGCGGCCAGCTCGACAACTTCAGCAATGAGGAACGTAAATTACAGGAGGTGAATGAGATGTTGCAGAATTTTGTTTATCTTTGGACAGCTGTCCGCTAGTTAATGTTCTGTAGATCAGAGGCTCTCAATCATTTTTCAGCCAAGGAGCCCTGAGAAGATAGAGAATATACCTGGGGCCCCCTCATGTTTCTCCTTTGGAATAATCTGATGTATTTTTTCACTTCTATAGCCTCAGCAATGCCTGGAGGCATCAGGCATTGATGACTACACAGTTCTTTCCTAAGATAAAACAAAACAAGATGAAACAGATTAACACAATGATGAACTATTTATTTTTAACAAAAATAAACAATTGTGCAACAGCAGTTGAAATAGTGTGAAATATCTCCACACAGCAGATTCTCTCCTTCGCTCCATGACGTATGACGTAGCTCGCATCGCAATAGATTTAAAGGGAAAGGATCGCCTCAGGTATAGGTTGCATTTTCCGATACCTGATCCATCTATTTTGATGATATCTGGGCCGATTTTCTATCCAGATATCGGATCGAAAAATCCCTATAAGATATGTCAGGAAACACCCCACCTCTAAATTCTGAAGCTTTTATGGGTCTCAAAAAAAGGTGGTTGCTAACAAGTGGCTCAATGAAACTACATAACATCATCATGGCAAACACAGCTTTAAAGCCTCATCGTGGTAGGGATATTAAGTCGTGTGACCTCATTGTAGTTTGGTCATAGGCATTTGTTTGAAATGTTAGCTTTTTACTTCTGGCGATTGCAATTACACTTCAAAAATCATAAAAGTAGGTTAAATGTGTATTTTGACTGGTGAATTCTGTTTTATTGTCTTTGATATTAAGACATACAGAATGGACTATAGCTTATTAATGAGTGGAAGATTTCTCCCTCCTTGAAAATACCCGGGCTTTCCATGAATCAAAGTTATAGATCATAAGAACCTTAGTGATATTAAAGGACAGTCATGGACATAAAGGACCTATTATTCCTGATACTACAAAGTACCCTTGCTTCTTTTCATTTTCTGTTTCCCATGATGTCCCTGCCTGTTAAAATCAAAAATCACATTGGCTTTTTGACGAGATTATTGCTGCTGTTGGAGTTTCAAGTGAGGAAAGAAAGGAGTGGTCTTATTGAGATTTGGTCAATGCTTGCTTTATGGACAAATATCTGTAATACTCAATGTGATCTGCCATTTTGCTGCTACTTTTTACTTCTGTTGTGCTTTGTGCAATGCCCTGCACTGATGACACATCCTTGATTACAATGGTTCCGTGCAAATCTGGTGTAAATGGGGACTGGTTCACTAGATAGCACCAAGGTTCCAGGAATCATGAACAAAACTGGCTCATGAACAGAGCTAACCTGGTGTAAAATGGGTATTTGAGAATCACTGCTGTAGATGACTGACTGACATACTCTGTCTTCCTCAACCTAGGCAAAGTTTGAGCTGGTGACATCCGAGGCGTCGTACATTCGTAGTCTGACGATCGCGGTGGACCACTTCATGTTGTCGCAGGAGCTCGCAGAGTGTCTTGGAGCTCAGGATAAGCAGTGGCTCTTCTCCAAGCTGCCTGAAGTCAAAGGAGTCAGTGAGAGGTGAAGTAACATGCTGCTGATACGCCTCTGTTACACCCTCAGGCCTTTATTTTAACATCTCAGTTATCTCCTTCTCTGAGTGTGTTTTCTCCTCACTCGTAGGTTTCTTGAGGACTTGGAGCACAGGCTGGAGGAGGACATTCTGCGGTTTGATGTGTGCGACATCGTCCTGGACCACTGCCCAGCTCTGAGAAGGGTTTATTTACCTTATGTAACCAACCAGGCGTATCAGGAGCAGACATACCAGCGTTTACTGTGAGTTCTTGCTGTCATCACATGTATGACATATCAGCTGTTTGACACTTAAATGTAAATGTATTCAGGCACTGTCTCTCTGTAGTGCATAAAACCCAATTGTTTCCTGCTGGATGTCCATAATTTCCTCTCACGGTGTCGAGGTATTATTTTACACCTGCATGACTTAACTTGCAGATGGTTCATCTAGAGGAGGCTGAAGATTTTTTTCTTAGGGTGAAAAAGCACGCTGGCATCCACACCCACTTTCACTAAAAGTTATTGAAGAGTTTTCTCTATATTTTCCCGTCTTGTCCTCGCAGGCACGAGAACCCTCGTTTCCCCGGCATCCTGGCTCGTTTGGAGGAGGACCCCATCTGCCAAAGACTTCCTCTGACCTCTTTTCTAATCCTCCCGTTTCAGAGGATCACACGGCTTAAAATGCTGGTGGAGGTACATGATTAAACATTCACTGCCAAATTCATGTTCACACTTGAAACCTAATTACTGTAAATGGAGTAATATTTGGACCGGCTACGCAATTTGCCGCAGCTGTGTTTTTTTTCCCAATAGTGAATAACAAGAGTATTGTTTACTCTCTTGGCACGTCTTCACAAAAACGTCTTTACTTTCCAGAACATCTTAAAGAGGACGACACCGGGCTCCCGAGATGAGGACACTGCCACAAAAGCTTTCAATGAGCTAAAAAAGGTGGTGATTATCATCTCTAATAGCCAGTTGGATAAGAACCAGTATTATCACTGGTGAGGCACAACAGTAATAACCATGCTGGTGTGTGTCTTTTTAGATCATCAAAGAATGTAACTCCAGTGTGCAGTCGATGAAGAGGATGGAGGAACTTATTCACCTCAATAAGAAAATCAATTTTGAGGGAAAGGTGACTGAAGTCTTGTAAAGTGTCTTTTTTATATGCAAGGTTGTAACATTTTGCACACGTGTTTCTTATTCAGCAGCTTCCTTCTCTTCTTTAGATCTTTCCTCTGATCTCTCAGTCCCGCTGGCTGGTGAAACACGGTGAACTCCTGGAAGTGGACACTCAGATGATGAGTATATCTGGATCAAAGCTCAAGTTTCCCACCAAGCCGGTGTACCTCCACCTGTTCAACGACTGTCTCCTGCTGTCCAGGAGGAAGGAGTGAGTTATATGCAGTCGACACAGAGAGACAGAAAACTAAAAAATTGAATTGAAGCGTGTCTTGTGAAAGGCAATAGCAAACATTTAGAAAATGTGTTGAATACAAGTAACAGGATAAGTCTATCTGAACACAATGCTCACATGCCATATAAGCATGCTGAAAGAGTAATGGGTGCTGCAATCATTCCTCTTCTTCATACAGGCCCAACATAACAACACTGTGATAATTAGGAAACAAAATCCACTGTTTCTATTTTGTGAAAATTTTTTAGAATTGCGTTGCCTTGCAATAGCTGCTGTTGCTTTAACCCTTGTGAGTTTGTGTGTGGGTGTTATCATGGTCAAATGTGGTCCTGGGGACCCCTGTTGTAGTGGGAACTACCACAGAAGCTGTTTTGAGTATATTTTGGCAGGTGTTTCTATTTATGTCTGTGGACAGATTTTGCCAATGTGATAGCATCACCACTGTGAAATTTTACAGGTGTGAAGCTGAGATCAAAATAAAGGCCATGTTCAAAGATGGGGGTAGTCCATGCAGTGGGATCAGAAGTAGGATGGTAGGAAGTATGAAAGGGTCCGCTGGCCCCTCTTGACTGACATTTGCCTCATGCCACGGATCACTGTATTGCGGCTGGAATACATCACAAGATAGTCGCTAGGTTTATTCATTTACTCTAATCAATTATATTTCTGTATATTTCCAAAAACAAAATTCTCTGTATTTGATGCATTTTCCTTTCAACTGAAGAGGGATCCAGGTAATCTGTTGATAGAGAGTAAAAGAATAGAAAAGCCAGGAGGAATTTTTTTTAAACAGATTGTAACTTTAGTAGAAATCCACTTGGTTTTGCGAATTCAGACTGCTAGCTTTGCTTTGGATGGACTTTAGAATGTATTTTTGCAAGGAACAAGGTTTTCTTTTACCCTATTCTTTAAGATATCTACACAGCCAGTACCCTTTCAATGTACATTTAACATGAGTATAGTAGTAAAAAATAGGTTGACATTTTGGGAAATATTTGCTTTCTTGCCAAGAGTTACATGGGAACATTGATAGCACTCTTATTCTGTGCCCTTAATATGATGCTAAAGTAAGGGAGTTAGCTTAGCTTAGCATAAAGGCCAGTAACTGGTGGAAACAGTTAGCCTGGCTCTGCTTAAAGAATTTGCCTACCAGCATCTCTAAAGCTCACTAAGGCATTGTTTAATGGGTGATAAAATAGAAGTATAAAAACAGGAACTTGTAGTTTCACAGTGGGTTTGTGTATTGGTCTTATTCTTGGCTGAGTGGAGTGATTTCCTGGAGTCTTGTCGTCACAGCGACTTTGCCAGGCAACAGGCACAGACTCCAACTTGCTAATTGCATGCTGGTTCAAATTTTTTATTTGGCGCACAGACATGAGAATGGTGTTGGGCTTCTTGTTTACTTACAGTTAGAAACACCATGTATTTCCCAAAATCAAAATGTCATGTTGTTCCTTGAAGATTGAATTTATCTCCTACGAAGTGTGGGATTTAAACATTTCTAACTTAGTGGCTACAACTCCTAGTGGTAGTGTCAAAGAAGAGTCTGTACAAACAACAATGCACGCCACTACCACTACCTCTATTTACCTGACATTAATGGTCTGAAAACAGCACACATAATGCACCAATTTTCACCAGGATTATATCTCTTTACTACAAACATAAACCACTGGAATAATTTGAAAGCTGCCAAACCACATAAAAATTCCACACATAGTGGCTTTAAAGATTCACTCACTGGTTATGAAAAAAAAAATAGACAAGCACTGTTGTCTCGTGATCTTGGTCTTGATATTAAAACATCTTTTTTTTGCAGTACGTGGAAGTTCATGGTGTTTGTACACGCCAAGATCGGAGAGCTAAAAGTGAAGGACCTCAGTCAGAAGCTGCAGGGCATCTCAGGCTTCATCTTCCACCTGCAGCTGTGTGAAGGCCAGCACCTCAAACACCAGATCCTGCTTAAGTCACACACTGAGTGAGTAACAACACCTTGTCAACAATACTTAAGCTTCAGTCCAAACTGGACGCTTAGCAGATGGTGCTCTAACTGCCCTGTTTTGTGTCTACCAAGGAGCGGGAAGCAGAGATGGATCACAGCAATGTTTCCATCTGATCCCCTGGAAGACATCGAGCAGGCCAGTGAGAATGATGGTCAGTGGAGAGCTTTAGGCGCACTATGAATCAGTGTAAAGCTTTTAATTCTCTCATTCATCTTTCTCTTGTCCTTTCCCTCTCAGATATATCCCAGGTTCAGTGCATCAAAAGCTATCAGGCCCAAGAGCATGATGAGTTAACGCTGGAGAAGGCCGACATTCTTCATGCTAAGACCATTACAAGTGATGGTAAGAATTTGGGTAGTGTCCTTTTTTAAGATAAACTGCATTCCAAAGTCAATCTGCACTTAAATAAAAGTAACTTGTGTCCATAAAAAGTTAGATTTGTGTTTCCCACTGGCTGACGGAACTTTTAAGTCACTCCAGTCAAAAATGTGTTTATCTTCTGTTTACGTACCTAAAATGTCAGACCTTGACTTTACTGACTGTATCTGTTTGACACTAGAGAGGTGTTTTCCCATTCCTCTACTGAAGGGGGCGATGTCTGTGCACTTCCCTACAATCAGAGATTCAAACATAGCCCAGGCAAGCTAGATTAGATACATCACTAATATGAAAGCCAGCACTGTCTAATTCAGGAAACACATATCAACAGGGGACCAGACTTCAACACAGCAAAGAAACCTCCAGCACAGAGCAGACTTATTACGTGTAATATAAACATTTCAGCCAAACAGAATATATCATTCTGCAAATGTTGATTAGACCTCTGGTATAATAATAATATGAAAACAATATGACAATAGGGGTAATTATTGTATGTTTCACAATCACTAACACTGTGACAGCCACTGACAGTTAGCCCACAAGCTCACATACAACATAAACATATAAAAACTGAGTTTGTTTGTAACCGGATCGAGACCACCTCTTCAAGAAGGTCTCGGTCCGGTTGTTTTGGCGCTCACCCGAGTGCAAATTGCTGTGTTCACACCTGCCCAAAGGAACTTGAGTTTGATGAAACCAAACCAAACAGGGCAGGTGTGAAAGCACCCGCAGTCTGGGTTTGATTGAGGCTAAAACATGTATAGCTGAATCTCTCTGATGTTTCCTCTGACGCTAACAGTGTTGATCCGCACTGCTCTTTCATTGGTCAGTGGCGGTGGGCGGGACGAGAGTAGAGTAGTTGTTTTCTAACTGTTTGTGTGGGAAAATCATGTCAAACAAAATATTGATCGTAGCAGAGTATTTTACATAAGAATGTATCTAGAGGGCTACTTTTAACAGCATGCAGAGGTGTGCAATTGAATGAAGCTCAAGTCATAAATTTATGACACAAATGACAACTCAACTTGATAAAATAATAAAGACTTGCAACTCGACTTAGCATAGATGACTTGTGACTTTAATTTGACTTGAGACTTTCAAATTAAAAATACTTGATACCTTCCCCCAAGACCAAAGATTAAAACGTATGTTATTTAAAATGTCAGGATCAGTTCATTTCCCTTCATTTCCTGAATCAGCTAGCTATAACGCTGTTAATTCACAGCAAACTGACACTTAATTCTCCAGATCCAGGTTGTTTGAACCAATCTAACAGCATCCAGAACCATGAAGAACTAATGTTACATTACTGAGCAGCACTTGTAAAAAATGATACCAAAGATAATTTTGTTTGCGTATAAAAACTACAGATGGTCGACAAATAATGAATTGCAGTAGGCCATGTAAAATGTGGAGGTCAAAAATTACACATGGAGACACAACAACTTTCAAAGAAGTTGTTTCAACAGACAAATATGCCTTTTATAAAGCACTCGTGACATTATGACATGTTCAGGACTTGAAACTCAAAGTTTAGGACTTGGATCTTGACACATGCCGTGTCTTTAACCACCTGGGAAATGCAAGACCAGGCGCTGCCTTCTCTGTGCCAGCTTCCAAGATCATGGTGGCAGGGTGTGTCTGAGTTTGCTAAGCAACCTCAAGAAGCACCATATCATAGCCTGTTTACCTGAAATCCTGAGTACAGATCTGATCTTCTTCCAGGCGCTGTTTGTGTGTCGGCCTAAAATTGTTAAAAATTGCTAAAATTGTCCGTGGGACAGACGTAAAGCTCTGGCAGCCCTGCACTAGAATGATCAACTTCTTCTCCATATTACCACAGACTGACATTTATGGAAAAAGGGAGAGACATCTGTCCCCTGTGACTGGTTGGTCCTTGTCACATGACATGTGGTGCGTGCTGCTGCATTTCAAAAGTTGAATTCAGTTTATCTCAGTTGCGCCCAGAAAAATAGGCGCTCAGGAACACATGTGTGCCATGGCAGCTTGCTCTGGCATTTGAGCACACCTGCCACATGTCTACATTGAAAACAATGAATTTGAAGGTGCAAAAAACACAGCATATGTACAACCCCTAAGTCTTGGGACTTGAGACTCGTCACTTGCAAAACAATGACTTGGTCCCACCTCTCTCTGTGAGTGTGTGTGTAATGGTTTGATGTCTAAGGGTTGTTGTCTTTTACCAGGCTGGGTGGAAGGCATCCGACTGTCAGACGGGGAACGGGGCTGGTTCCCCAAAACCTACGTGGAGGAAATCACAAGTCGCAGCGCTCGTCTCCGCAATCTCCGAGAAAATATCCGCATCAAATGTGTCACGCAGAAATTAGAGGGGGAAGACTAACTATCTTTACTGCAACTAGTCATGTGTGTCTGAGTTGCTAGGTTGCATCTTTAAGCTTCTGGGTCATTGTTTTCATTTTAGATATGTGTGGGATCTACATGTAGTACGCAGGTGCTAAATCAACAACGTTTTTCACTGTGTATCAGCATTTTCCTTTAGCATGCTAGCTGCGAAAAGCTTTTAGTTAAAAAGGTTTTTATACAATAAGAGTCTGTTGACATTTTTAACAGTTTTGCCACACTGAAGTTTCTAAAGGAGCAATCACTTTATGCATGCCTTCTGTGAATGCATCTTATTACCATTTTTAAGTCTGAGAAACACATGCACATTTATCAGCACAGGCAGTAAATGTTCTCATATCCAAAGGTAAATGTTTACACTCCTTGGCTCATGTTAGAGAAGCCTGTCACTGCATTTTTCCTCTGCTGTATTCAGTCAGCTGAGCTCTGTGAGGGGCAGGAGATTCACTCATGTAATGTCACAACATCAAAATGTCGCTCGAGGCAGCTTCTTCGTCTGAGCTGCATCAGGACACGTCAGAGGCCTTTAATCTTTCATCTTTGTTCTCACTGAGTGCTGCTTTCATTTCAGAAGGCAGATAAGAAGCTGTCCTGCTGTGTAGTCAGTGTATTCGACAACAGTGTACACTGGTTATGAGAAGAAATGCCTGGTGTGGTTTTGTGTTTTATAGTCCATCCAATATTTGATACACTGCAGTGCATCATTTCCATCCATGTGTCAAAAGATGTGGATTGTTAACACATCCTTGCCTCCTTGTTAAAGAGGACAACACCCTCACTGTATGCACTGTATATAGTCTGTACTGTAGTAACAATTTGGACTGCATGAACTCTGATAGTTGTCCAAACAAGGCAACTGCAGAATGACGGTTTAATTTTTTTTTTCTTTAAAGATGGTTTCACTATTCTACTGTAACATAAATGAAGGACAAGGTCATAGTACACAAATACTTTTTTTCTGTTTGTTACCTAATCTGTTTAAAAGATTAGGCTGTCTATAGTCTATGTTTTTATTAGAAAGCCCACAAATAGCCCCACTGTTCAGAAATATTAAAGGGGACCTATTACACTTAGTTTACAGTTCACACTTTCTACTAGAACATCTTAACATGCTTTGATAATCAAAAGACACTTTTTTTCTTCGCACTTCTATTGTTGTATTCACCCTCAGTCAGATGCTCAGTTTAACGACTATCTCTTTAAGCAACTCTCCTGAAAAAGCTCAGTCTGCTCTGATTGGTGAGCATTTCAGGGTCTTGCATATGCATGCAAAAAATCTTTCTTAAAGGGTTCAGGGATCTTAAACCTTTGAACCCTGAGCTAAATGTTGGGGTTTCTTTCAAAAACATGGGCGAAAAAAGCAATGAGCTACTTGGTAAGAAATGTCCCACAAAATGCAAAAAAAACATTAATAGATTCAGAAAATTATTTTTAAAAATGAGGTAAAAGAACAAGGCTAGGGAAAACTATATTTATAATTATTGTCACAGTTTTAAATTATGTTATTGTTTTGTTTTTTTTAATACATTTTAAGCAGTTTTTTGGGTCATTTCCTTGTTTGTTTTTAACCTTCTTTCTTTCTTTTTTGTAATTTTTTTCCCTTTTTATTAATTTCTTGCAAATTTTTTGGGTCATTTCTTCCTTCGTTGCTCAGAGCCTTCGTCCAATATTTTTGAAAGAATTTAAGTCAATTTGGTCAGGTTTTAAAGGGTTAAGAGACTCCAAACCAAAATATTCTGTTCTAGCAGGAATATCATCCGAAATTAACAACATTGGCAACTAAGATGACATGTTTCTCTGACGTTAGCATGTAGCTACATGTAGCAGGGTATCAGTAACGTCCCTGGATCAGATGACCATATAAAGAAATTTGTCATAAGCTGACGTCAGCTTGTCTTGACAGTAGAATTTTAAAAAATCATTTGAATATTAGTATTCAAAACAAGCCTGAGGTTTTTGCTCACAAAGGCTAGTTTTATGAACATTTACCTCGTTATTTGAAAATTTGGCCACATTTGAGCATTGACATTCTGAAGTTATATATCTGACAGCCAATAAGGAAAAAGCATAATAGGTTTAACAACAGCACACACACACTGTAGTTTATTCTAAGCTGATCCCTCTTACACCACCCGGTAAAGGTAAATACTGACTAGAACACCAAATGTGTATTCATCCACAGCTAAAAATAGTCCCCAACAAATGCACTATTTATTTCTGTTTGACTAACATTTGCTTATAACTACAACGCCCAGCTGTTTGATGGGATGCTTTAGCCCTTTTTGATATTAAAACTTATATTGAAACTAAAATTTCTGTCTCCAGTAGGAACAAGTTGGGCTTTTGTGTACCACGGACAGGATAGAGAGGTTGGAGGATGTTGGATTTGTTTATTTCACAATATTTGTTGTCAGTAAGAGAAATATAAAAGAACTGTCCTTTATAAACCAGGAAATAGTCACCTACCAAATTCACCTCGGGTTGCATTAACATGGACTGTCAGTGTGGTTTAAGTGCAAGTTTGCTTCACATATACTAATTTTGAAACTTTATACCCAGTTTACTAGAAGCTAGATCTGGATCAAGTAATACGCAAAGCACTGAATTACATTTAGGCCTACATTGTCCACATCGTTCCCCTCATCAAATGACCAAAAGCACAGTGTAACTGAGCTAAGACCTGTTGTTAAAGAACCACTATAATCAACATTCAAATGTAAACTCTTCCAGTGGCACATGAAATGTTTATAACCCCTTTATTTTCTATACCTGCGTTGTTAGTTGTAATTTAAGTGGTTGCTGTTGCAGCATGTGTATTTATACTCCTCTAGCTGGTCCTTCTCTAAGGAGATTCTGATGTAAATGTACTTTACTGTAGATGGCTTCATGTATAAAGAGTAGAGAAATGGTTCATGTACTATTATGACTGTAATTTATATGAACAAAGATTCGACAAATATTATTACCTTCCTGAACTTTAAACTTTTCAGTCTGATTCATTTCTAATACCCTAATAAATATAAATACTGTAATACACTGGATCTCTGCACACTACTGTAAATGTTTAACCATTTAAATAAATACAGATACTTCCAGTTTATGTTGTGTTGAATGACTGACTCTTTGGAGGTTTCAAATAGTTTATTGTGGAAAAGTCAAACATTGTGTATTTCACGGTAAAGGCATCAAAGCTAAATATGTACATTTTCTTCAGTAACCTTAGCAGCTCTACAGTCTCTACATCTAACATTTCCTCAGCTGTGGTCTGGCCTCAAACTGGGTCACAACCTTGTTTCTGTTTTTCCTCACATGAAAGGGAGCTATGAGTGTCTTTTCAGTCCCTCAGAGTGAAAAAAATCACCCAATTATATCAAAACAGGGTGAGAACATTTTACTGCTGTTATCTCCATTCTGTGGCACAGTTGGACATTAAAGTAATATGTACATGCTATCTACACATTCTCTCAGATTTATAATTACAGTCAAGCTTTTCTACATTCAGACGAGTCAGCTGCGCCCGTTGATGCGACACTGGTCGGCTGTTATCATCGGTTCCTGGGACTCCTTCCTGCTCCTCTGCAGCTTTGGCATGATTGGAGGTGCAGCGCGGCTCACAGTGACGTGGCTGTTTCTGTCTGGCTGCAGGTCACAGAGAAAATGTTATTGTTACAGGGTTGCTTCACATTTCACATCACTTTGGCACACATGAATATTTCACACAAACACAAACATATTTTCCCAGTATCAACAAAACTATGGCTGCCTTTATAAAGGAATTGTTTTCAACATGTTGAAAATCAGGCTGCTCTCATGTACTGTTCGTACGTATACCTACGAAATAATTCGCCAGCATACAGTGTATAACCCATGTAACAGGGTAGGCTACAATCACATAACCAATGTGCTGACAGGAGTGAAGCAGGAAGTAGAATAAAGAGGGAAAGTCCACGTAAGCAGGCAGGTTGGGGTGATAGATGGGTCAAACAAACACAGGACTTTCCCTCATGAGACTGATGTTTGGAACCATGTGAAACCAAAAGAAAGTTGAGTTATTTTAAAGAAGATTGTCAACATTTTCTTTTTCTAAACCTAACCTACGTTACTTTACTTGCCTAAACCTAGCCTACATAACTTTAAGTATCTAACTTCTGTTAGGTGCGTAACATCATTTGTGAGGCACTAATTCATTAGATATCATATAAACCATTGTATGAGGATACAGTGAAATAATCTTCACTGTCAACTGCATTTCCATGGAGCAACCACAAAAATAAATTGACAAAATATAAACCAAAATGCGTTTGATCTCTAACAAGTTTGTACCAGTTGATTTTCATACCAAACTAAACTGACACTGCAGCATTAGGAAATGTTTAGCAGAGATCAAAAGATAACAAATGGTCTTAAAAAGTATATCTTAGCCTGGGTATCTGACTCTTAAATCTTAAATCTGCATTAACCTCCTGAGACCTGAACTTTTGTTTGGTTTGCATTTTTAATTTCTACTAGCTATTTGGGATTAGTAGGACCTGATCAGTATGAAAAATTAAAGTAAACACAACTAAACAAGATGACAGAAAAGTCCCAATGTCCTCAAACAAGACGATAATAAAGTCCCAATGTGCTTCAACGAGCTGATAAGTTCCCCACGTCTTCAAGGGAGTACTTTGTAATTAACAGCATCTTAGCTTGTTACTTTTGCTAAAATTGGTAAAGTTTGTATGGTATATCAAACTACAAATGTTATTAATCATAAATAAACAAGTTTTAACCATAAAATGTGATCAGGTTTTGGAACATGTCCACTTTTGTTTCAGGGTCGGCTGCAGACTGAGTTAGCAGAGATGGCTGCCATCTTGTTTTTACAGGGATTAGTGTATTGTGGTTTTACTACCACTAGATGGCACAGAAAAGTGTCCATGAACAAGGACAACAGGCCTAAGTTAAGCAGACTGAAGTATAAGGTCCAGTAAAAACAAAAGGTAATGTCCTCATATGAGGACGCAGGGTCTCAGGAGGTTTAAGTGGTTTATTTTTTTATTTTTTGGCCACTTGGGGGCAATAGAAAGGAACCATCTGTACTAAATGGTACTAAATGGTACTAAATGGTAAATGAACTGCACTCATACAGTTTTTTCTACCTAACAAAACAAAGTGCTTTACAATTTGCTTCTCATTCACCCTTTAGTCCACTCTAGAGCTCATTAATTGATTGATTTATACATGGTCAACTATTAAATGAATCGATTAATCAGTTGAAAGTGAGAATTCTTTGATTCCAGCTTCTTAAATGTGGACATTTTTTTGGTTTCTCTACTTCTCTATGACAGTAACCTGAGTATCTTTGGGTCGTGGGCAAAACAAGACATTTGAAGATGCCATGGTAAACACTGATGTGTTATTTTTCACCATTTTATAGACCAAGCAACTAATCGATCAATCGAGAAAATAATCAACAACGAAGATAATAGTTGCAGCCCTAAGACTTTAATACACACACTCACACTCCCTGCCCATCAGGAGCAGCTTGGGTTTCAGTGTGTTGCATCAATTGTAATCAATGTATGGCCTCTCTACCTTCTGAACCCTACTATCACCTTTGAGTGATGAATGTAAGTTTAATATTCACTGCACTATGTTCACCAGTGACAAAGCCCCAAGGAATCACCAATTCATGGCCCATATATTATTCTTAACCATTTTACATTCCTTTAACGTTGTCAGACAGCGCATTCTAACCTGTTGTAACTGAAACACCCAGTTCCGATAATCCTCCAGACAGGAACAAGAGACCTGCAGGGGCTCCACCAGCTCACCTGAAACACAACAGTAATCATATGAAATAACTGTATTTCTCATAGCACTTACTTTTGCTATAACCCAATGCTACATTTAACTTAATGAAGTATTGATGTCACATGTTTGCACAATGTACCTATCAGTTCAAACTCCAGCCGTCCGGGCAGGGCTGACCTCTCCACTGCTCTGATGCTGTGTCGGGGCAGCCTGCCCTGTTAGACATGACATAGGAGAAGAAGAAATGCTTTAACCTGAGCAGGAATTTTCACTTCCATGAAATGATATAATGACTGTACAAGAAGATGCTCTATTTGACTGAAATGCATTGAGTGATGCTGTACCCAGGCGGCAGGTGTGAGTTACAAAATGTTCCACCCATGCTATCTGTCATGTGTCACAAGAACAAGTGCTGTGTAAAGATTACCGGGACACGTAGTTATTCCGCAGTGGTTGAGGGGGTATTATTATGGATTTTTCCCATAGAGTCATTTTACACTACCTCATATGTTATATTCAGACGCTTGTTGTCAACTGACAGCAGCAGGACGTCTTGAGGGAAGAGAACCATCAGTCTTTCTTGGAGTCCCTGAAAGAACAAAGCAAACAATGCCGTTACATTAGCTGTCCAATACAGATAATACCGCTGGCAAAATACTGTGACACTTGAAATCATACTCTCTTTTTTAAAGTACGGGCACTGGATAATTACCATAATCACATGTGCCACAGGTAGCAGTTTAAAGGACAACTACAGGTTATTATGACTTGTGTCTTACTTCTGTTATTTTGTCCTTTGTTCCTATTAGTCAAAATACCACTGTGCTCTCCATGTTAATCGCTGAAATATGCTGATATAGCTGTGATGCTTTTAAGTCAGAGGGGGCAAGAAAAAAGCAAAAAATATTCAGCCTCATAGGGTTTTGTTGTTGTAATAAAATCACTAAATGTTCAATGTACACTGCTATCATATTCAAGAGAAAATAATCAATATCCTTCAACATAAATAAGTCATTTCCAAGTTGACTTAAGATAGAGAGCACCCTCTACAGTAAATGCCACATTTTGTGCCAGCAGGTAAAATTTAACATGAAACCTGACTTGCTTCAAAGTGTTTTATGGCAAACTGGTGCAAACAAACGTGTTTATTCACTTCAAAAAAACCTATCTAAGGGATAGTTCACCCCAAAATCAAAAATAAATAGTTTCCCTTTTGTTAGCAGTGTCATTAATGAACTTTTTTTCTACCGAACAACGCCCGCTGTATCACCACTCAGGGGGAAGTGTGCATCTTTTGCTAGCTCATCTAGCACCACTGAGATTATCTTGAGTAACCAGGTCATGACTTCTCGGTAAGAGACATGACTGTTAAAGGGAAATTTCGGTTTATTTCAACCCATCTCCTATCGTCCTAAATTTGGTTCAAGTGACTAGTGACATACAGATAATAGTTAGCATGTTAGCCGTTAGCCTAGATACAGCCGGGGCGCATAGTAGCGTCAGACCTGTTAAAACGTAAGTGAACGGGCAACCTTCAAGTGCAAAGTTAGTCCACTAAACAAGCTTTTTTTCCACAAAGACCGCCTCATATCGTTAGGATAAATGTCAGAGAACATATAGAAAACGACATGTAAACGTGTTGTCTTACCTTACCGGTGTGCTGCCATGTTTGTTTACCATCTAGCTCTGCTTTCCAAAGTGCAGCCGAAATATATCTCGCGAGCTCTAGATAAAGCCCAGCTGGATACTACTCCAGGTGGAGGTGTCTCGTCCTCGGTCACATCCAGACCTTGAAAATAAGGCTGCAACCGGTCCCATTCCTTGCAACAGAGGCATTCCTCTTCTGTGGGCACTGGGGCACAGCATTCACAGGTACACCACCAATCTCCAGAGCTACGCAGCCTTGTGGCAGCCATTCCTCCCCTCACGTCCTCTAACGTTACCTGTTGCGCCTCTCTCTCTCCTCCTCCTCCTCCTCCTCCGTTCAGGCAACCGTCCGGTTCTGCCTTCCAGCTGTTGCTGCTTGTTCAGGCACGCTATGAGATCGCTGCTTGTTCTCGCGATATTTCGGCCGTGCTTTGGAAAGCAGAGCTAAATTGTAAACAAACATGGCAGCACACCGGTAAGGTAAGACAACACGTTTACATGTCGTTTTCTATATGTTCTCTGACATTTATCCTAACGATATGAGGCAGTCTTTGTGGAAAAAAGCTTGTTTAGTGGACTAACTTTGCACTTGAAGTATGCCCGTTCACTTACATTTTAACAGGTCTGACGCTACGGCTGTATCTAGGCTAATGGCTAACATGCTAACTATTATCTGTATGTCACTAGTCACTTGAACCAAATTTAGGACCTTTAAGACAATTTCTCATTCAAGTAGAAGGAAGTTCGAAAACTCAAGTGTGTGTGGCAGTGTTTCCTCCTCTAAGATAAAATCTCTTTGCATCATATTGTAACTGGGTTAATGACAAATGTGGTTTTGATTTTCAAATATTGTGACAAAAAGAAGCAACAGTTTATCTGGCATTATGTGATAAGTATGGAAGCCCATAGAGGACATGAGTGAAAATGTATTACCTGTCTATGTGGGTTGATGATATGGACAACAGATATGTATCCAGGCTGACCCATATGCTGTATCGGCGAGCCCTCCCACTGCCATATGGGAGCTTGTAGTAGGTAGTTTTTTAGTTCTTCTCTTTTCCAGTTCTCATCGCAGGGTAACTAGGGAAGGAATATTGTATGTGATCAATTTATTAATTACAGCGTAAACAGACTGCTTTTTCATGTGTACTTGTAACCAGATGTACAGCAGGTATTCATTACAAGATAGGAGAGGGCGCAGTGGGAGGGGCTCATGGGTTGTGCCATCGACTTGTATCTCCTGTCTTCTATGTGGTGCATCCATTTCTGTAGCTCTGCAACGTTGGCGCATATGAAGACCTTAGAGTCCATCATTGGACCTGGACAAAAGAGGGAACGACATAAATCATGCTGAGTGCACTGCGTTACCGTGTCTTAGTCGAAGTTGGTAATTTCCACTGACTCACTGCTGATCTCAAACATGTGTGGTGAATGTGACGTGTCAGGGTCCAGGGAGACAGCTTGTAAGGAAAGTCCAGAAAGGGGAAGGATGCCCTGTGTAAAGCGTAAGAAAAAAAAATCGTGCTTGTCATTGTGCTTCAGCTTATTACTGTCGACTCAAAAAAACTGCTGCGGTTTCTGTGTGGTTGCCCATTCATGCAACCAGCACATATGGAGCTCCTGTGTTCCTTTTCCATTCCTCTGTCTTATATTTCAATTTTATGTCTTCAGCAACTCCATATATCTGGCTCTTTCACTGCTAAATGCTCCACTATCGAGACATAAAGTCCATCCCCTTATGGTTGACCATTATGGGACATAATTACAGAAAATATATATATATTTGGTAGTTAATGGAGACAGACAATTTTTTATCCTATTTGAATTGTGCAATGAATTACACATATCCTGTTTGTCAATTTAAGAAATATTTTCAAGAAAGTCATTTTGTTGTAAAACTGTTCAAGTATAAGACTGTTAAAATGCGTAATTAGAATGTCATGAAATTAATTCATTGATGAATCTTATGAATTAATGAATTTATGATCAATTGAAAATATTTTAGATTGTGTGTATATGCCAATGACATGACCTTAGTAAACAGACCCATTGGGTGAAGCTGCCTACCTGACCCACACTATGGCCCTTAAACATGGTGTCACATCAGCATGTTAGAAATGAATGTGGCCAAGACTAAAATGATTATTTGCACTGGACAAGATCTGAAGACAGAGCCAGTTTCACTCGATGGCCAATGTGTTGAAACTGTGAAATGTTTTAAATACCCTGGTATTGCTCTGGACTCCCACGTGAGCTTCTCTGGAAACACAATATATTTTCAATAAATACTCACAGCGACTTTATCTTCTTAGGAAACTCAGTGGCCTCAGTGTTAGTCAGCAGATTTTAGTATTAGTGTATCAAACTATGGTTGAACATTTCACCTTCCTGTCTGGTATGGTCATCTTAAGTGTACATCCAATAATAAACTCTGTGGGATTGTGACAATGGCAAGTAAAATAGTTGGCAAGCCACAAAAGCCTTTAATCCAACTCTCTACAGAAAGGATGAGGAAGAAATCGAGGAGCATCATGGCGGATAGCTCCCATCCTCTCTTCAGCCAGTTTGAGGTCTTGAGCTCCAAGAGGCAGAGTCCCTCTGGCAACTAAAATTTATCTAAGAAGGTCTTCATCCCATCAGTATCCCCAAGTCAGCAAAGTGACTGATGAGTTTTAAACCACAGACCGACAATGAGCTGAACTTGTGTGTGTTTTGTGTTACAAGTGTTTTGTAATGACTTTATATGTTTTTCTTGCTGACTGTCTGCTTTTCAGAATGTCTTTTGTGTTTGATGAATTGTTGCAAGTGACGTCTAAGCTTTCTCTATCGCTGAAGATATGATGCCTGTATATTTCATAACAGGATGTACTCACACAAGTAACAGGTATTGCTCATTCTTTCTGTTGCCAGCTGATAAAAAGGCCACTGGATAAAACACTTCAGGTAAAATAACCTTACATTTGTGTGTAGAACATAACTTAGTTAGCTAGCTGGTTGGCTGATGTTGATGTATATCATGCAAGAAGAGAGCTCACTGGTTTCACACTAAACTAAATGGTACTATGACAAACCACGACTTTCTCAACTCATAAAGTTATCTTCTAAATTGACAAATCTGTAATTCATGGCATAATGCAAACAGGATCGGTAAATTTGGTTTGGCCTGTTAATTACTGTACATATTTTTTTATATGTACATATATGTACTGTACATATTATATAAGGTCCCATGTCTTCACCTCTCTGTGGTCATCAGCAAGTCACAAACTTTTGTCTGTCTGCAGTTTGGTGCTGGGCAGGTAGATGACAGTGAGTTTATCAAGGATTTTTTCACTGAAAACAACTTCCTGACTCATTTCACATTGCACATATTCATTTGATCTGTTGTTAATAACAAAAAAATAAAAAAGATTGGTGCAGCTTTAATGTGTGGTGGACTCTTTGAATCCACTATTTGACATTTCATTTTACAGTAAAACAACAAAGAATACCTCATAAATGAAGTCTTGTCGAGAGTAGTCGAGGGAAAGAATCAGCAGGTGGAAAGAAAACAACACCAGGAAGTGTTCACTGGTTTCCTGTGGGGGACAAAATGAAGACACGCGACAGAAGTTCATCAAAAGCCACAAAACCCAAACATCATGCAGTATTGACTCCTGACTACACATCTGTAAGCTCACAGTATCAGAGGCTCCATCAACTGACCAGGTTCACTATTTTCAATAAAGGTTGCTTGCTTACCACATACTCATGGACCCCAACAATTACAGCTTCTTTACAATTCACAGACAGAGAGTTTTTGAGTATGCCCCTTTAGGAAGACGTAATGGTGGGACCACACCTTATAACTCCCAGCTGACTCCCTGTGTTACCTGTGTGTAGCTGTTGTAGAGAGACACCAGGGAGGAGTGGATGATCTCTCCATACATGTGGGCAGGTTGGCCTTCCCACTCCCTGATTGGCTGGTGGGAGTAAATCCTGTGGTGCAGCTCATCTCTGCTCCTGCCCCACAGCACCACCTACAGACACAAAACTGTATCAGACAATATCCATTGATCGGGACTTACAGATCTAAATATTTTTGGGGCTTTTCCAGTGGGGGGCATTTTCCTTCAGTTGTAAAAAACCTTCTCTGTTTTTTTTTTTTTTTTTTTTTGGTTATTGTGGGGGGGGGTTTTGTTAAAAATTACACTGACCCCATCAGTGTTTATATGTGGCCACATGTTTCACAGAGCCATGACTCATACATTACAAAGCAAACTGGAGTTTGTTTCACTGTTGCAAGCCTCTAGTCATTGCTGTTTGGGAAATCCAGGGGGATTTTCAGTGCCTAAAATTAAAACATTGTCACTGAGGACTTTGTTTTTTTTTCTGTAATGGCTTGGATGCTTCATATTAAATGGACATTTCACCCCAAAATCAAAAATACATATTTCTCCTCTTACCTGTAGTGCTGTTTATCAGTCTTGATAAAACTCAAAAACTCGACAGAAAAACTAAAAACTGAAAACTCAACAGCAGTGTCTCTTTCCAGAAATCATTACCCGGTTATGTAAGACAATCATCAGACCTTGTTGTGAGCAGCTTCATGTAGGAACTATTTTCTTCCACAAAACTACACCCACCAACAGTATCACCACACAGGAGGAAGTCTGCATGTACTCATTCATGAGAGGCTCGTGCTCATGACAGTGTGAGATGTAAACATTAATGGTGTCCTCCTCAGCTGAGCTGTAAAGTTAGCTAGTTCAGTGGCGCTAGGTGGGCTAGCTGTAGATGCACGCTTCTGTCTGCACAGTGTTGCAGGTGGTGGGTGTAGTTTGGTAGAGAAAAAAAAGTGACTACATGAAACTGCTCACAACAAAGTCTGAGGATTATCTTGAGTAACCAGGTCATGATCTATGGAAAGTCACATTGCTGTTGAGTTTTTCAAATGTATTTTTTTGGTGCTTTGAGCAGCACAAGCTGAGTGCCATCTAGTTCCATTATATTGGAGAGAAGGTTGATATCTCCATCAATCTGCAGCTCACACCAAAACAATCTACAGTACAGGCCAAAAGTTTGGACACACCTTCTCATTCAATGCATTTTCTTTATTTTCATGACTATTTACATTGTAGATTCTCACTGAAGGCATCAAAACTATGAATGAACACATGTGGAGTTATGTACTTAACAAAAAAAGGTGAAATAACTGAAAACATGTTTTATATTCTAGTTTCTTCAGAATAGCCACCCTTTGCTCTGATTACTGCTTTGCACACTCTTGGCATTCTCTCCATGAGCTTCAAGAGGTAGTCACCTGAAATGATTTCCACTTCACAGGTGTGCCTTATCAGGGTTAATTAGTGGAATTTCTTGCTTTATCAATGGGGTTGGGACCATCAGTTGTGTTGTGCAGAAGTCAGGTTAATACACATCCGACAGCCCTATTGGACAACTGTTAAAATTCATATTATGGCAAGAACCAATCAGCTAACTAAAGAAAAACGAGTGGCCATCATTACTTTAAGAAATGAAGGTCAGTCAGTCCGGAAAATTGCAAAAACTTTAAATGTGTCCCCAAGTGGAGTCGCAAAAACCATCAAGCGCTACAACCAAACTGGCACACATGAGGACCGACCCAGGAAAGGAAGACCAAGAGTCACCTCTGCTTCTGAGGATAAGTTCATCCGAGTCACCAGCCTCAGAAATGGCAAGTTAACAGCAGCTCAGATCAGAGACCAGATGAATGCCACACAGAGTTCTAGCAGCAGACCCATCTCTAGAACAACTGTTAAGAGGAGACTGCGCCAATCAGGCCTTCATGGTCAAATAGCTGCTAGGAAACCACTGCTAAGGAGAGGCAAGATTTGTTTGGGCCAAGAAACACAAGGAATGGACATTAGACCAGTGGAAATCTGTGCTTTGGTCTGATGAGTCCAAATTTGAGATCTTTGGTTCCAACCGCCGTGTCTTTGTGAGACGCAGAAAAGGTGAACGGATGGATTCCACATGCCTGGTTCCCACTGTGAAGCATGGAGGAGGAGGTGTGATGGTGTGGGGGTGTTTTGCTGGTGACACTGTTGGGGATTTATTCAAAATTGAAGGCACACTGAACCAGCATGGCTACCACAGCATCCTGCAGCGACATGCCATCCCATCCGGTTTGCGTTTAGTTGGACGATCATTTATTTTTCAACAGGACAATGACCCCAAACACACCTCCAGGCTGTGTAAGGGCTATTTGACCAAGAAGGAGAGTGATGGAGTGCTGCGGCAGATGACCTGGCCTCCACAGTCACCGGACCTGAACCCAATCGAGATGGTTTGGGGTGAGCTGGACCGCAGAGTGAAGGCAAAGGGGCCAACAAGTGCTAAACACCTCTGGGAACTCCTTCAAGACTGTTGGAAAACCATTTCAGGTGACTACCTCTTGAAGCTCATGGAGAGAATGCCAAGAGTGTGCAAAGCAGTAATCAGAGCAAAGGGTGGCTATTTTGAAGAAACTAGAATATAAAACATGTTTTCAGTTATTTCACCTTTTTTTGTTAAGTACATAACTCCACATGTGTTCATTCATAGTTTTGATGCCTTCAGTGAGAATCTACAATGTAAATAGTCATGAAAATAAAGAAAACGCATTGAATGAGAAGGTGTGTCCAAACTTTTGGCCTGTACTGTAGATTCATAAGAAGTCACTACAGGTAAAAGGAAAAATATATTTATAACTTTGGCGTGAACTGCACCTTTCAGAAAATTTCTCATTCAAGTGGAAAGAAGTGTGAAAACTCAAGTTTGTGTGGCAGTGTTTCCTCCCTCCTCTGTTTCCTGTAAAGTTTGAATCACACCAAACATGGAATGCAGAATCTCTCACTTTTGTCATGGAAATTCCCACAGTGTGTAAACAGTGTGCGTCTGGCCTCAACACAAATAACAACAGCGAGTGGAAACAGTTGATGTACATCTTGCCACACTATACATGAGCAGTGTTAAAGTGTTGACCAAAGTGAGACACACGCTGTGTTGTCACTGTGAGAAGTGCATGATGAAGTTACAGTCCTACAAAATTCACACAACACACACACACACACACACTGACCTCTTGTTCCAGGTGTCGCACTGAAGGGTAGCGCTGTGGTGGCGGTGGTGGTTGTGGCAGTGGCTCCTGCTCATCTCTGCTGTTTCTCACTGACAGCTGCAGCCTGGTCTCTCCCAGACTCCACACCCTGAATAAACACATTTCATCAAATGTTGATGTTGATGACACATTTCATGAGACAGTGCTGTCACGTTCTGACGGCACAGTGGTTAACTTTGTGTCCTCGTTGTAGCACGGATGTGGGTTTAATTTCGTGTCTGTGCAGCCTGAATGTCAAAGTGCATGTTCTGTTTGGTTCTGTCCTGCAGTTCAAAGACAGGTGAGTCAGGCAGACGTGCAGACTTGAAACTGTCTCAAAACCATGATTGTGGGCTCCTGTTTGTGTATGTTTCCTACTTGTGCATGCTTGCACTGGCTTCAGCCATGGTGTGCCTAAAAGAAAGCAGAGACTGAAGAGCAATAGAGCATATCACAATGTAAATGACATGTCTAGACCCCCCTGTAGTCCAGCAGCAGCCAGACATAATCAGATTACAGTGTAGCCAGAGCAGGGCAGACCCACCTGTTGACCCTTCACTGACATATATTTTGTCCACATGCTAATTCTAAGCAGGTTTTGAATGAATATGTTCCATTGGTGATTGTGTGTGAGTGAGTTGTGACTGAGTAGCAGCTGGCACCTTGTATGGTAACCTCAGCCACCAGTGTGTGAATGTGTGAATGTGACATGTAGTATGAAAGTGCTTTGAGTGGTTGGAAGGCTAGAAAAGCACTATACAAGTGCAGTCCATTCATTTACCACATGCCTGAATTAGCTGTACACCTCTGAGCTCAGTAAGTTTGGATGTGTTTATGGAGAACTGTTAGGTGCTCCTTGGTAAATCCCCCAAAGTTTTACAGATGTTGTTCCCTGCTTCGCTTGGGGGATCAATATGTTGAGCTCCTTACAGAACTCAAAATGGAGAGGAGTTAAGGAGTCTGTCTACCCTTATCTTGAGGTTTGTGTAATCTGTATAAAGGCCTATTTATGGGTTTGCATTGCAATCTACCTTGGGCTATAAATTCTGGTTTGTGACTGGTCCATGCTATTGTTTCTTAAAATAATACAAAATATCAACATTTTTGATTGGTAGAGGCAAGAAGAAGCATTACATCTTTGGCAGCACATTTTGATGTCTCTGTAAAGTTTAATTAGCAGTCTCATTGTTTAAAAACTGGGGATTTTTGCACATATTGCATCACTTCCTGTTAGCACAGGGCATTAAAGGGGAACACCACCTAAATGAAGAATTCCAGTATTTTATTTTCATGGCCAAGTTCAACAAATGTGTGTGAACATGAGCTCCTCTCTTAAACTGTAACCAGAAAAGTAAGTCTCAAATGTGTGATGTCATAAAGTCTGGAGCTGCTCCATAGATAATGAATGGGAGCTTGATTTTGTGGACCCACACAATGTTTGTTTCCTTTTCTATACCCAAATGATGTTTTTCCTGTTGTAGTGTTCTCAGGTGTGAAACCGAAAATGTGCCCATATACTCAGAACAATCCCCTGGGTGTGCTCAGTGTCATCTAGAATGTCTTTTCCAATTCATTGTCTATTGAGCTGCTCTCTCACAAATTTGAGTTTTATCACTCTGGCTTTTGGATGTGAAAGAGAGTTTTGGACTGCCTTAGACAGAAGAATAACATATATGAATTTTGAAAATGGGTGTAGCTCCCCTTTAATTTCTTGTATGCACAGTTAAAACCAATACATTATAACAAGTATTAAATAGTGCTTCAGACTAAATGATAAGCGAACTCTATGCAGTGATAGAGTGTATATGAGTGTGCATCTTAGTAACAAACATCTTTGTTTGTGTTGCAGTGGGTAGTAATTATTAAACAGCCATACATAAGGACTGGTATTTACTGTTGTGATTAGCCTCTGCTAATCCCCCTGTCTAAGAACGAGCGGGGATTTGTCCCGCCCTGACTCTGTATTAAACTCCTCCATGCCTCAGCCATTGTCTTATAGTAATCTGCTAATCACATCAGTGCAGCATCACCGACTGCTCAAGTTCATGTTTAGTAAATAGCGGGCAATTAGTTTTCCTGCCTTGTTGTTCTGCCTGGTGCTTATGAGTGGAAACCATATGGATGTAATGTGTTGTTCTGCAGGTGTTTTCATCCTGGATAAAGGGTTTATAATTAAATGTTTTCTTCACAGCATTACCTGGAAGTTTCTGTTTATAACACACCGCACATCCTGTTACTGTGTGAAAAACAAGCATGTGTGTAGCTGTGTACATCCTGAAAATGGTATCACTGAATTGAATACACTGCAGCTCTGAAAAAGGTTGTGCAAGAGGCTCTCCTCTTTTGTTTGACATATTCGGTTCCAAAATGTGACGCATAACATGCCAAAGAAAACCACAGAGGTTGAAAGCTGCTTAAATGCTTTTTTCACTTCACAGAATGTCACCGCTTCTTCCTCCAGAAGTCACTGATTCTAAAAAAACCACATTTAAACCAGCCTAACCGGTATTGTCTCTCTACAGCTGTGAGGAAAAGTACAATAAATAACACTTCATTTACGTTTTTGATGAAGTAATGATGCTGGTTGCGCTTTGTTCCAGGATCCAAGTTCAGCAATAAATGTGTTAATTCCCCACCACTACTTTTCTGTTTTTGCTTTAAATTGTAAATGTATCTTTGTCTTACCCTAAATTGTCTCCAGAGAGTTCCAGGAGCTCAATCTCATCAGGGCCCACCTCGTCCACTCCAGTATGCCTCTGGGTCACACTGCAGCATCCCATGACGGACGAGGAGTCTGTCCCTCTGCGCCTCGTCTCAGCTTCTAGTCCTCACACTGAGCACCATCTGCCCAGACAGTCATCCCCTCTGTGTGTGTGTGTGTGCCACACTAAAACCAAAGAGATAACAAAACACGGGGGCTGGTTGGGTCCAAAAGAGGATATTGTGCACTGGAGAGGAGGAGGAGGGAGGGGGGTGGCACTGCTAAGCTCTAGTTCCCCCTTTTTGCCAGCATGTAGTGTATGTTTCCATCCAGCCACGAGAACGAAAGGTGTAAAAGCTTTTGAAGAGGAATTGAAGATAAAAGTTCTTGTCGAGTTGCAGTGTAGTAGCTGTTCCTTCCTTCCTGTCAGTTGGCTGTCTGCAGAGAAGTGAGCAGCTTCCTCACTCTGTTTTTTTTACACTCCGAACTCACACCGGGAACCTGCTGACACATAACAGCATGACAAATAAAAAACGGCTCTAGTGTCATTCCAACCTTACCATATGTAGATATTAAAAGAATGCCTCTATACCTCTTGGTGTTGATAAGTCAGGCTCTCCGATGCACTCAGCCTCCTTGTTGAGAAGCATATGGATGAAGCAAGCATCCTGTTGGGAAAGATGGGACCATGCCTGCCCGTGTTTGCATGCAAAGGGCCCGAATATGGATAGGCAAGTGAGATAATTATGAGTTATGAAACGGAGAGGTAGAGGGCTGCAGTCAAAACAACAAGCCACAACAACTGTACAGTGGAGCCATGTGTTGATCTTCCTGGTTAGAATTACAGTAAGATGGTGGGAGGGTTTGTACACAGTCTGTCTGAGCGGTTATGGATTTCCACGAGGCAGGAGCTATTTCTGTTTCTGTAAAGTGACGCAACGCCATGTAAGATGACTGATGGATATATTTTCCATTTGCAACAGCTTTCTATGTGTGCTTTGATTACTGTAAACATGTCTGACTCTGGGACAAATAAATAAATAAATCAAAATCAACCATTATTGGAGGAAAAAGCTTTCTTTAGAACATATTCCTTACATAGCACCAGTTAAATGAACGCAGTTATCATTATTCAAGTAATAAATACATTCTTTCATGTCACAGTAAACATTTATTTCTTTGAGAGGAAAACAGCACCAGGTGTCAAAAGTATAGGTCTTTTTTATCCAGATAAAGCTTTAGATCTCAGCTGTTTGCATCTGATGCATCTCAGTTCCTCTTTCTTCTTATAAACTCAGCTCTGTGTCCTCTCTCAGCTCTTCTTCACATTTGTTCCCACACACTGGAGGTCCATCATGAGGAGGGCTCTCTGAAGAGTCACTAACAGAGATCCCTGGTGACGACAGCGCCATGATGATCCTCGTCTTCTGCCGTGCCGTAGAATGCGTCATGTCGTCTGCAGCTTTTAAATGATGATGCAAAGTACATTTGCTGGGCTTGAATACAACCCGCGGCCTGAGGTTCTTACTCCTGACAGTCTGTACGATGGTGCTGCTGCTGTGTAAATGTAAAGGCCCCTGCATTGACAGAGAGCTTTGATGGAAAGGTGAGGCAGCAGTGGAGGTAGAAGTGGAGGTGTTGGGGTGCTCGTCAGACTTTGAACTACCCCTTCCTTCACTGCTCGCGGAGACATTCACATTATCAAGGGGCACAACTTTGCCCTCTGTCCCTGACTTAAATTGTCTGGCTTGAGTCTTTTTGGTGCTTTTTTGGTTGAGGTCACTGTTTGTGTTGCTCTTGCTCCAGGCCAGCACTGAATCAGGAGGGAAAACTCCATTGTAAAGCAGCACAAAGTCCCTCTGACTGGCCAAAGGAAGAATCCTCTGCTTGAGACGACACTTGCTGAAGATCTCCAGAGTTAAATCTAGAGCATGAAGGAGTGACAGCAGATATTACCAACATATTATGTTGGGCGGTATCACACATCAGCCTGCTGAGCAAACAAATAAGTAGAGCAGCATATTTAATGAAGGGAACTCTGATGCATGCAGAGAAATGATGTGAGAACATTATAAACTGTTAGTAAAAAAAAAAACAAAAAAAAAACTGTTGTGTGTGCGTGTGATCAGCTCTGTTAATGTGCGCTCACCCAGTGTCTCAGCAACAGTGCTGGGTATCACCTCCTTCAGCACTTCACAGTTCGTGTGAAGAGCTGGGTTACAGTTCATTTCCAACAGCCACACCTATTTCATACACATGAAAACGCATTTAGTCCCAAACCGCGCAAACTCTGACCAACATTCAGATACTCAGCAGTGTCTCACCCACCTTGAAGTTCTCGTCAATCATGAAGTCACAGCCGATCAAGTCAAAGAGGCCCAGTCGACGGTCTAACTTGGATTTGACTGCCAAGAAACACTGCGTCATGATCTGCTGCATGCGCTTCTGATGCATGAAAAAAAACAACAGTTGGTCAAATTAGGCGTCAGAGTCTAAGTGGCATACATCATAGCAGTTCTTCCAGCAGCCATTTTAGATGTCTGCAGCTCTCAGCAACAATATCTGAGAATGTGTAGTTAGATATCTTCAATGATTTATTTTTCTACTCTTTTCAAATGATTTGATCATTTATAAATGGCCTAATTCTGAAACATTTCGCTGCATTCTTGATTTTTTGGCCACTTGGGGGTATCAGAACAAGGTATACACCAGGTATAAATACATCATTGACTGTTTGCTGTTATGTGCCGAGCACGGAACGTACAGTGGGTTTTAAGGTGAAAACAGCTACCTGCTGCTGCTGGAACCAAGGCTGATGGGAGATATATCTGTGGGTCAGACAACCAAAACAACAACTGATATTCCCCTGGGATCATTTTAAAGTATTTTACAACAGAATCCCCAGTGCAGGGTTTGTAATGAATGTAAGTGAGCACTGTGCAGGAAGAAGTGGACACACTATGACTTTTTTCTAACCTACTATACAATGACTTTTTTTTAAGGTCATGTCTTAAGACATACTACACTATGAATTTTGAATAACTTGTTGACTTTTTTAATGACTTTAAATAACATACTTTTTTTTTGATAAAATACTATTTTTAAGACGTACTGTACTATGACTTTTTAATGACTTTGTCATGACATACTATACTATGATTTTTGGATTGCTTTATTTTTACATACTATACTTTTTCCATGACTTTCATGACATATGTATTATTACTTTTTCTATGTCTTTTTTTTTAACAAACTATAATTTTAATTTTTAATGACATAGCCTACTGTACTGACTTTTAAATGCCTTTTATAACGTACTGTATTATGCCTTTTATGGGTTTTTAAATGATTTATAATATAACATACTATACTATGACTTATATGGATTTAAAAAAAAAAAGAAACTATATTTTTTAATGGCATACTGTACTATGACATTTTTAATGAATTCTTCATGAGACACCATACCATGACCTGTTTTTTCAAAATGATTTTAAATGATGAATTTTTTTTTATGAAATACTATACAGTGACTTTTTCAACGGCTTTTTTAATGACAAATTATAGTATGACTTTTTAACGACTTTCTCATGACATACCATACTATGACTTTTAGAATATATATTTTTAAATTACACACTATATTTTAAGGCATACTACACTATGACTTTTTAATTACTTTTTAATTACATGCTATACAAGGACTGTTATGACCTATGACTATACTAGACTTTTTTAATGATTTTATACGACATGCCATAATGACTTTTTAATGACATTTTTATGTCATACTATGCTATGAGGTTTTTTTTTATGATTTATGGCATATTCTCCTATGACTTTTTTTTATTACTTCTTTGTGGCATATTATACTATGGATTTTTTAACTTCTTTTTTAATGACATACCGAACAAAAGCATACTTTAGTCCTGCCATGACTTCTTTATTACATTTTTTTACAACTTGCTGTGTCATGAAATATTGACATTTCTATGGCATACAATACTATGACATTTTTATTGTGACATTTTTTGTGACATTCTATGTTGTGGACCAAAAGGAGAGCTTGTCAGACAGCTGGGAACTATCGTCAGCTGTTTATATCTATTAGTAGAGTGTAGACCCCGCTCACCTTAGCATCACTTCGCTGTTTAGCTTTAAATATTACAAAAAATAAGGTCACAGATTATAATAACTATGCTTCGCAGTCTTGACTAAACTAGTATCTGGTCTAGCCACCATCTGAACAAGTGCTGATTCTCTTTCTTTTGAATCCAGATTTGGAGCATAAATGCATTCTCGTTAAATGTGTTTACTGCTAAACTGGAAATTAGGCTACTGTCATTTGGTGTTAATTTTATGCACTTTATAAGATCACAGCAGTAAAAATAGTCAAAGTCAATACATGTAGTTGTACATTATTTTTCAGGGCGATTTGATACTTTATGAATATTGGGGGAGACTTGTTCTGTAAGCTTTGTAGTATATTCACCAATAAGAAGCTATAATTCTAAGTGAAGTATTTAGATGTAATATTTATTAGTGCAGCTTTAAGCTTGTTACTGTATCTCACTAACTCACTAATATCTTACCAGCTAACACATTACCTGACAAAGGGTAAGTTTAAAAATCACGTTAAGGAAATATTAAGCTGCACTTGTAGCAGTGTTAGTGCAGTAACATAAGTTGCAATATCACTGTAAAGAAGTTTTTATCACATTCCAGTAGGCCTACATTAGTACTGCACTTCCATAAAATCTGGGGAACTGCAAGTGTTTGGAAAGGACAGAAAAAAAATCAAAGCAACAGAACACAAGATATATGCTGACTTTTAGGCTGTAATTTGATTTCATTTCCAAAAATACTAAATCCTACACTTCCTATGATGTAACTCCATGACTTTTAAATCAACTTTGACATAAAATATTTGTGGAGGGCCCTTTTAATTCATTCATTCATTTATTTTAATTCATGTATGATTAATAATAAAGTCATGATGTGTTGAATTCTTATTCTTATAAATCTAATGATGTAAGTTTTTAATGTCTACACAGACAGGCTTTACTAAGATTAGGTTCTTTAACTGTAAACAGTATGAAAGGTCTCACTTGGACTCTGTTAAACCAAACAACCACACTGTGGTTTGTATACACTGAAATATATGTCACTATCAGAGTTTGAGGTTTCATGGGAACAGGTGCAACCCAAAAATGATTCAAATGTACACACTGTACCTTTCTATGTACTGTAAGAGGCACTATGGATGAAAATATAGAAATATATTATAATAACATGATGTATCCTCGGACAGGAATGAGATCATCCGAGTCTAACCACTACCTCAATTAGCTGCAAACGCCAACAACCATCATTATAATGGTAATTGGTCCCCGAGAGCTACAACACACAGCAGCACTCACTGCAAAGGTGCCCAGCACCCAGTCCCTGGGCAGACCCATGGCAACCTGAAACCTGTCGTTGACGTAGGTGTTGAAGCTCTCCATGGACCACACGGTATCCTCCTTTAACTGGCTGTACAGAGGGTTCTTCTTCTGCATGTACTGGAGATGGACACCAGGGGGACCAGAGACACACAAAGCAGTCAGCAGGAGCAGAGAGACAGTTCGTGCCACAGCTAATGCCACCTCTTGGGAAATTACAAGAGTAATGCAAAGAAGGAAGGGAGGAAAATATCTCTCCGCTATTATCATGAATGAATTGTCCTTTTTTAATTTGTGTTAAACAGGAATCTACATAGCAAACATTAGGCCTTAAACAGCCTAAACAGTTAACTTTTACATGAAGTATTCTCCACTGGAAGTCAAACCCAGAGTTTCAAAATCAGGCCTTTGTGCCTAGCTGGTGAATGAATGACAGGGTGCCTTTTAACTCCGAAAATGAACAGTCATCTAATAATTTCACCCACACAATACTGTACTGTACCAAAGGAAAACAACAAAACTGCTTGTTCACACCCAGTGCTTCATTTTATTCAGTGCATTCAGTGGTTTCTATTATTTCACTCAATCTCACTGGTATATCTTTATCTATAAAGCCATTTTGGACAGACTCCCCGGTTACTTATAGGTGAGTACCTATGCCAAAAACTTCACAACCCTCTCATGGGTTGTGATCCCAGGACATTATCACCATGACTGTCCCGAGAGTTCGGACTGAGATGGGCAAAAAGGCTTTCATGTACTCTGCCCTCACAACATGGAACATTCTACAAAACACACTAAAACTAAGGACAGAATCACAATAAATGAATTCAAATGTGCTGTAAAGGCACCTTGAGCTAGTTTGTGTCAACATTTGTTGTCACTGTTGTGGCTATTGCTCTTGTTGATGTTTTTGTTATCTTGTTGTGCGTCGTAGCCTTTATGTCGTTTTCAGGAATCTGCGTTGCTGCCTTTCTTGGCCAGGATTCTCTTGTAAAAGAGATTTTAATCTCAATGAGTCTATCACCTGGTTAAATAAAGGTTAAGAATGTCTGACTGGGAAATAAAAATGGACTGAACGAGCTGTGTGTAGGGACTGTTTAGTGTTTCAGTGCTGATAACCCAGTAACCGCAAATAACGGGATATCTTCTAAAGTGTAAAAAAAATCTACATGATTTGTTTAGCTCTGACTGCTGAAGCCTTTTATCAGCTTCAGATATATATTTGAACAACTGTCACTTACACTGAAAGCTTTAAAAGGCCGGTATGAACAGCAGAAGTGATTACAGCCAGCAAAACCTATTTTAATGCTCATATGGACACATGACTACTGTTCTAACACTGACTTCACAAACGGTGAATCTGTCCTTTAAACTTCGGCCAGTTAACCCTGGATATTTTGGCAGAGTTTGACACATATTGAGGTGTACCTGATTGGTCAGGTGGGCAGAGAGGTTGTTGGAGCTGGGGTCATAGAGGTCGCAGGTCAGTCGTACATATCCATGGCGAAAGAAGACCATGTAAGGTGCAGTGCAGGCAATCAGAAGGTAAGAGCGCACATCAAACTTTTTCCCTTTCAGGAGCAGTGGACTCTGGATGTAACTGGGGGCAAAATGACAGTTGACTTTCAGGACAATTTCTCAAGTTGTCATTTGTCAACAAGAAGATGCTGCCTTTTTGGAGCCATAAAATGTGACATGCTATTCATTTTAACAACCCAATAGTTACGTATGTTCACCCACTGCTGAACAATGCGAGCCTGAGGCTGGCGGTGGTGCGTCTTCCTGTTGGTCTGGCTGTCTTCTGAGTGCTGCAGCTTCAGTTTGAAGGCGTCGATGTCCTCTTGGCTCTTCAGCAGAAAGATGCCTCTGCCCTGGTTCAGACCCGTAGGCTTACAGATCCACATGTGACTCTCATCATTGCTCACACCTGGTAACAGTCATTAAGTTGTGAGTAGTGCTGAATCTGAATTTCACTCCATAACTGTGTCCTAAACATCCCACAAGGCAATTCTTCACCTTTTGTAATTGTGTTTTCTAGATTTGTATGCTACTTTATACTACACCAATACATTTTAGAGAGAAACACTTTAACTTTTTACTCCATTTATATGATGGCTGTAGTTACTAGATGCTTTGAATATAAATAAAGCATATAAAATCATATGATCAACCTATAAAATATGCTGCATTGTTATCAGTCAAGCTACCCAAGTATACAAAGTAGCTAAAATTAGCTTTGCCTCAAGTAGCTAAAACATTAAAATGTTACTTACATGTTGATGCATCAGTAACAATAATGAAATAATATCATGTGACACTCTAACAGGAGCTATTATACTCTATAATGAGTACTTTTGCAGCTGTACTTCCTCCACCACCGACATTACTTGACAGTACTACTACTACTGCTTTTCCAGCAGAGTTTTACACATGCTGTGATCAGTTTTTAAAATGATTCTGCTTGTATAACTGTTCCGATGTGTCTTTTTCTCTCGTCTTCCTTTTCATGGATTCATCCGTCACCCAGAGATCTCAGCCAGCTGTCTGTCTTCCCCTGTTTACTTAGTGATAACCATGTTTGCCATACCCCGCACACCACTTATCATAATTCTGTGTGTCTGTATCACCACAAACATTACAGGAACCAGGGTATTGTTTCATTCCCAGTTGGTAAAATTGAGGAAAAATGTTTTTCAGTTTTAATATTAAATGTATTTCCTTTGTGTCAGGCCAGCTTTACATCCACATCCTGTCGAGCGTTTCTCCTTGTGTTTGTGTCTCAGCCCTGCCCTCTACTGACTCATCTCTATGGTAACAGCATGTTCCCCTGGTGATTTAATCAGGGCCTTATGGGAGGTGAAGTGGATTATTTTCCAACGTCCTCAACCTCTTGATTAAACAATCACCAAGGCAACAGTTGTCTTAACACCGCCAAGCACAAACTATTCTGTTTCTTGTCATTACCGGATAAATGACAGGTCAAATTTGACTGATCTTATCTTAAACTGGAGCCTCCTCATCAAACACAAATCCAGTTGAATCAGTGTTCGTTGGGTTATTGTTGCATGTATTTTACCCTCCTGCTGGGCAAAGAAAGCCTCCCTTTCTTCCCTCACATCCATGCGGAAGGTAGTGGGAATAAACTCTTCCATTTTCAGCCTCCTGTGAAGAACAACACAACAAGGAGGAAGTGCACGTGAATGGCTGTTTTCTCAGCTGTTTGAACCTGCTTGTGTCATACACTGAAAATCAAAACTGTGAGAAAATGACTTCAGATCACTTTATGTTTAAACCACAAAGTCATTGAGTGCTTAAAGGACCATACCTGTGTGTTTACATGTTTTTTTATCTATTCAAAAATAAATCATACTCTAGATTACTGCTGAGCACTTTTCAAAGCATGCTGTCATCTTGTACGTGTGTAATCGCTTACCTTTTTGACAGCCATGTTTGTCTATTAATGTATTTAACTACAGTAGAGAGCTTACTTGGGTTTGATAATACATTGCAATGATTATCATATTTGCTTTTAATATTTCACAGTAACATAATCATTCAGTGGTAGGACATTTGCACCATGAGTGCAAGTTGATTTCATATCTCATATATAATGTTTACTGTAATGCACTGACGCAAGAAAGTTTTATATCTCTAAAAAGTTGATTTACCAAAAGAGTAAAAGGAAAAACACATTCAGGAATTTAAATGAATCAATACACTTGTAAATTTTCAAAGATGCTGTATGCTGGATTTGTTGCATATGGCTACAGTATTACTACTAATTTGGTCCATTGTAAGTATTGCATATCTAACACGAAAATGTATTTTTTCAGCTTTAGTTTAAGTTTTTTATACAGAGAATAATATTATATTATTTTGTATATATATTTATTTTGTAAGTTATGATATATAGGCCAAAATTCACAATATAAATACAAATGTAATATAACTATAAATAAACTAAGCAGTTATTTTAATAATTGTTGCAAAGGAGTTTTTATTTTTTCTAAGTGGAATCTGCTTGCACTGTACGTGAGAGAGCAGTTTACAAAACATTCGGGGTCATTTAATCCAGTATAAGTAACATTACTTGTTGGGTACAGTTACTGGAATACTGTATACATGTGTTTATGTATGTACATGAATACACATACAGTACAGCATACTGTATGCACAAAAAATGTAGATGTGGTATATGTGTGTTGTATTACAATTATCCTGTGCAATTATCAATCATGAGCATACAGTTTCTTTATGAGTGAAAAGTGTAAATAGCGTTTATATTATTTTATTTATTTATTTTGCCTTTTTTTCATTCATTTCATTTCACTTTCATTTATCAGTCAGTCACTTTTCCGTGTCCTTGCTTTTGACTCTTCAGCTGCTTCAGGACTTCCCCAGTGTGGGTTATTAAAGTTTGTCTTATCTTACATCAAAGCATATTCACTACTGTACTGCTACTTTACTCTGTTAAGTTTTCTTCTTCTTCTTCTTATATTGTTGAGGCCTAACAAACATGCTCAATGCATTTCCTACCTTAAATATCTACAAATTATTCTTTTATAGCTTTAATTCTGCATTGTCCACATCAGTGTTTGCTAGCTAGCAGTTTTCTTCCTGACCTTTGCTGAGGCACTGCTACATCTCTTGGCACTTTACAGCCACCAGCTGTTTGTTAATGGAATAGTGTGAAACCTTTGACAAGAATGTGTATACAGTAGTTTTGGGCATGCATGTACTTGTCCTAGTCAGTGTTATTATAGTCTTGTTTTTACCTTAGTTTTTATTTTATTTCATTTTTAAATTAAGTTTAGTTTTAGTTTCCAGAGTGCCTTGCCTTGTTTCACTTTAGTTTAAAATGCTTAAAGTGATTAGTTTAATTACTTTCAGTATTTGTTTTAGTTTTGTTTTTTTAAATAAAATGTCAGATGCAGTTGACGCACAGTCATGTATACATCCCAGTCTCCGTAAACATTTGCACCAATGCATCAATATGCTTGCTGTGTTGACAAATTTGACCATATTAAAAAAGACTAAAACTAAAGACATTTCCTGTGGATTTTTATTTAATTTTAATTAGCTTTGTAAGTGTAGTTTACATTTCTATTTCACTTGACTACATTATTTTTCAGGTGAAGATTTTAAAAGAATCAGGTTGTAAAACATTATAACTGTATTCACGTACTGTCAATATGTAACCACTGGAATAGTTTATATAACTGTCACACATAATGCTCGATACCAAGCTTGTGTGATTCAGGTGTGAGGTCTGATTTCTAATGATGCCGTTTGCCCGTTTATTAAATAGTATCACAGGCTGATATGTCTTTCAGTCAGTATTTGCAGAGCCGGGACTCTATTGAACACCCATGATGGCACCAGATTGTTGCCAGGAGATTTGTGACACAACTATAAATTCTGTAAAGGAAAATAGCTGTTATATCTGTCTGCTTTTCACACACACAACCTCCGTCCTCGACCGTGGCTGACTTTGCTGCTGACTCGCTCATACTCCCGCAGACTGCTGAGGAGGCCGATCTTGGTGGTGAGCACCTTGTTGTTGGGAATCTGATACACCAACTGTTCACCTGGGAACAACACATGAGGATTACAAGTTTTCTTTCTGTGAACTGAAAGCAATAAAGCTCTTTTTCTACTAAAAGCAAAATGAGATTTCCAATTTTATTTAATTTTCTATGGCATCTCTTTAAGACAGGCAACATTTTTACAGTTTATAGTAGAACACAGCATACAGATTATGTCTTGTGATTAATATAGTACTTGACCTTCCCTGAAGTTACAGTAGTTGGCTGGCGATTTGGTCTCACACCACTTGAGTTTGAAATCCTCCCTGTGCTTGTTGTAAATCCTCTTCCATCCTTTGCTTTCACAGTAACCTCTCACTCTAAAGGAACAGTCCCAAAGGAAATCAATCACACTTCTGCTTAATTACACAACAATCAAGAGGTCAGGTGTCACATGTAAAACTAGGGTTCAACCCAAAACAAAATGGTGGATAATTTTTTTCTCCTAGTGTGAGAGCAAATGTCTCCAACACCTTTCTTAAGCTTTTTATTTGTACTTAAAATCCAACACATTATTTTATATTTCTCTACTTACATTTCAGCTCCGTTAGCTCCTCCAAAGAAGTAGAAGGGCCCAGGCCCCCGGGGCTCCTCGACCTGCTGCTGCATGTCCCTGTCTGGGAATGAGAAGGTCGACAAGTCCCTGGGGAAGGACCTCCGGAGGTATGGCTCCACCAGACCCGCACCTGATACTTTTACACGCACAAACACACAGAAATCACACAGTCACAGTCATTTATACTCACACAAACATATACAGTAAGTTCACTATGCACATGTAGACTGTGTTTTTGAATTGTATTTTGTTATGCTGCAACAAAGGCTCAACATATGGAAAGAATAACAAACTACATCACACTTGATTATCCACTTCTCCCTCCACACACCTGACCCTCTATCCCGGCTTTCCTGGTTGACAATCACATGGGAAAACCTCTCTCTCTTTTCCCGAGTCTGCGTCTCCTCCCTCTGGGCCTGCTCCAGTCCACCTTCTAATGTCACTTCCTGCATGCCACTATGGTCAGGTGATAAAGGCCGTTCTCTGGGTGGCTCCTCCTGCCTCAGGCTTTCTGCGGGCTGACTATCCCCACAGAGAACCTCCACTTCCTCCTCCTCCGCTTCTTCCCCTTGTTGCCTCTCCAGTCCGGTCTCCTCTGCCTGGCCTTCACCGCAGGGCTCCACCCAGCACTCAGATGACATGACCTTGTGTTGGTGCAGATCGCTGGCAATGGCTAAAAATGCTCCAACATGGGAGGACAGGTGGGCCCTTTTTTGGTTTGTAGTGACACTGTAGTCAGAAATTCAGACCAGCAGTGAGGTGTGTTTGCACTGAAGATTTGTGGCAGTATGAAAGGAATAAAACAAGGGAAGCTGTTTACCCCTCATCAAAAGTTCATGTACATGTCTGCTGGTAACATTATATTATTTTCATCAGCCATGCTGACATCATGGCTCTAGGGATAGCTGTGTCAGTCTCTTGGCAGGTCGTTCAGACTGAAAATGTGTCAACAACTACTGGATGGGTTGTAATGAGAAGTTTTACAGGTATTCATGGTCCCTGTGGGATTAATCCTAATGACTGTGGTGACTCCCTGACTTTACTCTGGTGGTCATCCTTTTCAGAATTTGTCCAATATTTTGAAAGAAATGTCTGCAAAACTAATGACATTCCCACCATCCTTAGCTGTACTTTGTGTTTGGGCTAATTGCATTAGCCTTACAGCATTACATCAGCATGTAAATGTGGCATGATGAGCATATTAGCATGCTGATGTTAGTATTTGGCTCACAGCACCTCTGTTACTAAGTACAGCCTCACAGAGGGGCTGATGTAACAGTCATTTTATTCAGAGGTAACCCCTTGACCTTTTGTTTAACACCAAGCACTCAAACTTTGCACCTGATCATCACTTTGGCCCATGGACAGTTGGGCCAAAGTATTCCCCAGAGTCGTGGTCTTTTTCTTCTAGCAACAACATCAGCCAAAAATGTCGAAATTTCATTTTCTAACAGGCAGATTGCAATGAAATCCATCACCTTTTACCTTTTTATCAGAAGAACCCTTAAATGTTAAATGTAACTACTGAAATGTTTGGTTTAGTTTAATGACCATTTCATCCTTTAGGGTTTGCTAGCACCGTTTATTGGGTTTATATTTTGAGCTTTTTTATCAGTATTATTATTTTGTCTGTATAGTTCAAACTTAAATTACATTTAGCAGACTTGAAAAATACAATAAAAGATAAAAAAGAAGTGTGATGATGTGCTATCAGAATAAATGTGTTGTTTAGTATTAGAAAACAGGAGCTGAACTGTGACCATATTGTAGCTACAGTTACAGTACAAGCAAAGGGGTTTACCTGTACCTCCAGTGTCACCCACAAGGACAGCCAAACTCCATGAAAACCTACTCAGCCTGTTCTTCCACCATGTGCACTCAACCTTGCAGTCCAACGGTAAGGCCCAGGCAAACAGCAAACCTACAGACTGAAGGACAGGCTTGGCGGAGGCGGAATCACATGGTCTCTCAGCAGTTTAGCCCACTCTAACCAGCCATAGTCTGTCACACCGCAAGTAAGGAAACCCACTAGACCAATGTAAACAATCACCGGTTACTCGGGTAATGGGAACTTAGCAACAGTTGCCACTCCTGGATTGAATCTTACAACAACAGCAGCTCAAGACAAACTAACTACTCAAGATTATGTATCCCACACCTACCCCACCTCTAAGTTTAGCTTCATACAATATTAATTGCCTGTAAGCCTCTGTTGTGCAAACCCTATGGTAACATGAGAGGAGAGTGTCAATCAACATGGATTTGCCAGTTTTCCGGGGTATTATATCCTGACACAAAAGGTAAAATAATATTTTCTGCAGGCTCTGTGACATATGTTTAACAGAGTGAGAATCCTGTCCAGGGGATATGTTTTAATGAAGGTATAGTGGTATTCACCTTACATTTCATACCGGTTGACTGTTTCTTTTGGAGCCTCATATCTGTAGCTCCATTTACACCCTTAACACCAAAGCCTGAATGGTTATGTATCTACAAATACCAAAAAAGTTATTTACTGTTTCAGATAATGCAGAAACAGTGCACTAACGGATAAAATGATGAATACAAAGATGAATTCCACCTTGGTTATACCTACAGCCTCATTACATTTTTTTATATTTCACATTTATTGTGAAAACCAATTTATTTTAACATTTAATTTACCCAGATGCATAATTCCTGGAATCATTATTCTTAAGTGCAGTTATTATCATGAACTGTATTGTCTAGAGCCAGATCCAGTGGCAGGTATGCAGTTGAGCAACATAGTATTTGTCTGCTCGCATTGCAAATCCACTTATCACCTTTCTGTCTCGGTGATTTGACTCAGGAGGAAACACCCAGGCCCAGCTACGGTTGGCAATTATGCATAATCTCCTCTCTTCCTCCCAACAGTCTGATAATTGACAGGGGAGGGTGCCTCTTAGATCCAGCATCCATGCAACCTTATAATTATACATTTAGTAGGGTAACCAGGAGTGACGCAGGCACCTAACACCTGTAGTTGAGGAGCATATTTAGAGTATTTAGAACATATTTAAAGCACCTCAGTAAAAAAAGTGTCATAAAAGATGGGGAAATGGGGAACAGCCCTCAAAAATGCAAGGGTTTAATTGCTAAGGTGTTAAGTGCAAGGTTTATGGTATCAGAGAGAACTGATGTTGACAGCTGAACAAGCCGACACAACCACAAACCTTGAGATTTTCTTGTTAACAATCCAAGAAAAACAACAGCCAACTCTTTCTACATGGTTCATAGCAAAGAAACGCATACTGTATGTTACATCGCACCCTGCAGTATGTTGTTACATATTTCATGCATGACTAAATTTACAAGAAGGAAGCAATAGTCTTGTCAGCCCAGTCATTTACAGACATTGCAAAATGGCAGCGATAAAAAAGAGCTGCCTGGCAATGATGCCAGTTCGGCCACAGCACCCCACTTATTAGAAACGGGCCTCCCATATTCTTGTTTAACAGAGCTTTGTGTTGAGCCAGTGTCAGCCACACCTTGATAAAGAGCCGCCATCTGATAGACACACTGTGCAAAGTGCTGCGTAGGTGGACAAAGAGAACAGGCTTGTTTTACAGCCCTGTCGACCTCATGGTTCACCATCTGCCAAGAGGCTGTGTGCATTTGTGTGTATAGGAGAATAATGTGTGTATGCATGTGTATTTTGTGTGGCTGTTTGTATGTGCGAGGCTTAAATAAAGGTTTGAGTGTTTGAATTAAAGTTTTCTTTTGTGTATGAAATATTTTTTAAATGAAATGTTCTCTCTTTGATCTCAAACAGTGGGGGCAAAAGTGTGCCACTTTTTACCTTTTGCTTTACTTTTGTTATCTTTGAGTTTCTGTGGGTGGTGCTCGTCTGTTCATCCATGGCAGCTGCCACCGCTCATATGCTAACAAGCCAGTTTTTCTCCTATTTACTCCAAACAAACCACACACGTAAGAAAGTAACATCAGCACAGTGCATCACTCCTTCAAATCCTGATTTTCAAAAGAAAGACAGCGGGTGAAAATGTATGAGCATTTCCACAAACACGGTAATGTGATCTATCGGAGAAACAAAATATTCACTAAGTTATATGAAAATGAAACTGATCAATGTATATCATTAGACAAAGTGTAGTGTGCGTGTGCCTGTCTGTCTCAGGGCGGTTACACCATAAAGTGTGTGCCTTTGGAGACTCGCCCATTCCCATGTCATCTCAACTGCCTCCTGCACCAGGAAGTGCTCAGCAATTACAGGGATGCAGCCTGAAGCAATGGTGTCCCTACACAACCTATTATTTGGAGGGATTCTCCTTGTCAAGGTGTTATAGTGGAAGGGACGGAGTTAAGTTTCGATGTAAAGAAAGGCTCGTCTCAATAGGGTCTCTCTCTCGCCCGCTATTCATGATTTCCTTACAGAATTACACTGGGAAAGCAGAGGGGGCTGATGTAGTGGGGGGTGACATTTTATTCCCAGGGTCTGCATTCACTCATTCCCACTGGGATGACTTCAAAGTTCACCAAGACTAACTTCAACATGGGAAAATGTAAATGCCATATGCACATTTCTGTCCTCAGATAAACAGTTGTTTAGAGGCAGATATATAAAATTAAATACATGAGGTGTCATTGTGCTTTTACATGTCTGTAAGTCGGGCGAGCAGTAAGAAATCTGAGTGCTGCTGAGGGTTTATGGTAGTTTTCTGGTTCACTTTAACCTTACTGCAGTAGTCATCAAAAAAGCACGACCAAGTAGGAAAGACGTGGTTAATGTGACACACATGATGTAAAAATCACTGATATGGCTTTAAATAATGACTTCATGTACTACATGCACCTTTGGTATTTCCATGAAGGTTGAGAGATACTGCCTCAGTCGCACCCAGCGGAGCCTTTGTGGTTACTCCAAATGCAGAGAGACATGTATGTGACGCGTACTATTGGCAACCTCCTGGATTAACGTCATTCAGGTTACACCCTCCAGAGTTATGAAACGACACTCAAGGAATAAAGCTTGGTTTTGAAGTGGAAAATGACTCACCGATAGTAGACTTTAGCAAAAAAGAGTAGAAGGGGAAGAGATGCTCCCGGTGTGCGAAGTCTTAAAATATACCAGCTAATGAGAAGTGCTTGATAACATGAGTGCAGGTGCAGTACTTCAGAAATTAGTCAAGTCATTCAGGTGAAATCCATCAACATAGGTCTATCAATACAGAGCTGGGAAAGAAGGTAATATCACTGACATAAATGGTTGGGTAATCAAACTAGAAATGTCCTGGGCCAGTGCTTATGTGGCAGAATATTTAGGCCTTAGTTAATGGGACATAAGCGCCAGTAATATATCACGGTGCCCAAAATTAATTAGAGGGATAAAACAGGGAAACTTATGTACTTGTAAGAACACACCTCTTCAAATTACCATCCATGCATCCATAATGAAAATGATTCATTCCCATGCATTCATTCTCTTTTTTACTACCAGTTACTGGCAGGTATCACCATTTCTGTGCTTTGGTAAATGTAACTGAGTACCTGAGGTGAGTCTAGTCAGCTACTGTGGAAATTTACCAGCAAAGAAATGTCAGCCAACTCTGTAGAAAGACCTGACTAAAATGGAATTGGGGCAAATTAGAAATATACAGGCAAGAGTAGCAATACCTCAAATCCTCCTAAGATTGCTCATGTATATTAGCAAAGCTTTTATCTCAGCCTACTAGTCCTTATGTCTAATAACAACACACAGTTAACACACCAGGTTTGCCAGAAGGCTAAAGTCAAAACTACATTTGACAAGACATGTCTATTTATTCTTATTTATTGTGCAGTGTCGTCTGTGTTGTGTGTTTTTTAAGCCACTGTCAAAGACAAATTTCCATTTTATGTAAAGTTTGATGGACATTAAAGAAGTCTATGTCTAAGTGGTTGTTTTTGAATTTGCCCCAGTGCTATCAGCCAAAGCTAAGGTGAAGCAACTATTAGCTTAAGTAGCTAGCTACATGTTACAGGGTCACTTTGATTCATTTTAACCAGAAATAATTTTCTGTGTAGTGAGGGCTATGTAACATAAAACCTACTAACACCCTACTAATTGTCATTACTCTTTCTGTAGTTTGGAACAGTCAGTTAAAACAACAAAAATCGTCATGTTAGCTCTGCTAGCTAAGGTTAACTAGCTAGCAATACAAGTAAAGAGTTAGCTAACATTAGCAACAGTAGATACCAAAGAAAAACATTACCACATTCATTGTTGGTTCTTTATTGTTTGTTTGGTTTTTTTTGTTTGTTTTTTAAATAACATTACTTAAATGAATATATATTTTTCAGGTCATGTTGTCAGAGTTAAACCACAAAAAGCCTTAGTGGACCACTGGGGACATGCAGACCAGCTGCTAATGTTAAGCTAGCATCCAGCCTTAAAGTTTTACTGTGACATTTAAATGTTAGAGGTTTTAATGCTAGACTACACCTCTTGGAAATGTCACATAATTCACTTACAAACTCGCATCTGGCACTGGCTGCAGATTGCAATAATATTACCCTCCTATCCTCTCTTAACTGCTGCTGTTGTTTTTCTCACTGAAGTGTGACACAGGTTGGACGGTTGAACTGTTGCTACAGGTCTAAACTGCTATGTTTATTAAATCGACTGTTTTTGGCAGGACGGAGTGCGGGTATGTATATTTTCTTGAAAAATTATACAACAAAACAAAACAAAACAAAAAACTAGTGGCCTCACGACATGATAATATCATGATACTTCAGTCACAATACAATATTACTGCATCGTTAAAGTTGTTGCAATATGCTGAGTATTTTGATAACATAATTTAAGACATATTGTGATTCATCAAGAGGCCTATGGGATTTTTCCATT